ACTTTTATTGTTTTCCATAAAGATAATTGTTGCCTTACTAGCAACTGCAATACTAATGGAAACACAAAGACTTACCATATGTCACAGAGTACAGATTGATATCAAATTTAAGTGAAAAAATGCTTATAATCATATGTTCAAAAGGTAAATTTCAAAGCTGGATGGGACCCTGAAGATCTTTAATTCAACATCTTCAAATATGGAAGTGGTTAAGACAGCCTTGGAATCAGACTTAAATCTAGGTCCCTTCCACCCATCACTAAGGAAGGGATCTGTACAAGTTACTTAACTTCCTCAATGATAATGCAACCCCTCTGGTTTGTTAGAATTGATGTGCAAAAATAAGACATTCCCAAAAAAAAAAAAGACATTCAACCTTGCAGGATTGAATCAAATGATGATGATAAAGCATTAAGAAGAATGACTCAGGCCGGCCCCGTGGCTTAGCGGTTAAGTGCACGCGCTCAGCTACTGGCGGCCCGGGTTTGGATCCCGGGTGCGCACCGACGCACAGCTTTTCCTGCCATGCTGAGGCGGCGTCCCACATACAGCAACTAGAAGGATGTGCAACTGTGACATACAACTATCTACTGGGGCTTTGGGGAGAAAAAGGGAAAACAAAAGGAGGAGGAGTGGCAATAGATGTTAGCTCAGAGCCAGTCTTCCTCAGCAAAAAGAGGAGGATTGGCATGGATGTTAGCTCAGGGCTGATCTTCCTCACACACAGAAAAAAAAGATGAAGAAGAATGCCTCATCCTTAGTACATCGAATGAATGATAGCTATCATCATCATCACTATTATTAAGGTTTAGTGGTTTTCCCCAAAGGCACACACTTAAAACAACTTGACCTTACCAAAATGTGAGCTCTAGATCACCAATTTTTCACTGGGAGAGGTTGTCAAATCAAAGTCAAGGAAAACTGAATCATCAGTGGGCCTCAAACTTGCTAATGTGCCAAGAACTTCTGTACAAAATATTAAATATCATAAAAGCTTTATGTGACTAGTACATAATTGGCCATGAAAAAACGATGGTTATGATTATAACTATTACTGATAATTTTAGATTGCCATGATTCAGGTTCTCAAGTCTTTTCCAGTTCTAAAATTCCTAGCACTATTTCTCTAGTGATTTATATTGCAGGGTTTTTTTGCTTTATTTTGTGAAGCCAACAAATGACAGTTGAGACAGAAAACAAAACGGATTTAAATCTTGTAATTTTGATCTGCTTTACGGCAGGCTTGATCAACTTCTCTTTGGAAGACACTTTGTTCTTGTGTTGTTCCTTATGATTTCCTCCTCCTAGAACAAGCCCACACAGACAACTGAAGCTCCTTCTAGTAGTCTCTCTGGTGTGCACTGGGCAGCAATTCACCTCTGGCTCCTCTTGCAGATCTAATTATCACCAAGAAGTATATTTGGTCTGGATATTGAAGTGACCTAGCTTCTTAAGGGAGCTTTCAGCCAAGCTCATGAAAAGCAAGAAAAAGCTTGGTAGAGGGGGTAAGTTGAAAGGCAGAATTGACAAAAGTTAAGACATTTGCGAGATAGGGAAGGAATGGCTGCAATACAGCTGCTTTTCTGTTTTCTTTTCCTACTGATCTTTGGATTCACGTTTGCTCATTGAGTGTGTTTTATAACCTGTTGTTTAACAGTTCTGAGAAATGGCTGTCACCAAGGAGATGACAATATGAAACATTATTTGTGGTTAAGTTGGCTCCTCCTGTGTCCAAACATAACCATTCCTCGGTTAATATGATCAGACTTTTTGAAGGCCAATAAAGGACATGAGATGACGTGGAAATAGGAGCCCCTCTTCGTCCCTCCCTTTTCTCAATAATTCAATCCTAAAGCCATAAGGGAAGAGCAAGGCAGGCATCCACAGATGTAGGGCAGGAATGGGGGGCTCCCGTGGCCCTGCATGGGTGTAAATTTACAGAAAAGGTTACAGGTCACAGAAAAGTTGCAAAGATAGTGGAAAGAGTTCCCAAAGGCCCTTGACCCAGTTTCCCCTAATCTTAACATTTCACATCCAGCCAGGATGAGGAGGATGTCTGCTTCAAGGGTGGACTGGCCTGGGGAGTCCAAGCTGAAGAGGGGTAAAGAGGGCTTGAGCACAGGGGAGGGGCTGGTCGCCCGATTGAGATGGGTTTCATACAGGGGAATTGCTCAAATAATTAAACATATAAGATTGATGGAAGTCAGGTTTCTCACGGCTAGAAAAGGACGTTACAAACATGGAAAGGGAAAAGAGTAGAGTGAGCCCTGTGGTGTTAAATTGGAGTTGGCAATATCAGTGGGAACTCATGGTTTTCCATGTATATAGATGGAAATGTGTGCATATGTGTGTATATATTCCCTAGCTCTGTCTGCTGAGAGGGCCTGCGATCAGCAAAACCCCAATAACAACGAACACACCTAACACCCAGAGCTTAGATTATAAATACCATTCTCCACTGAAATGAAATAGGGCTTCCATTTTTAAGAATGTATTCTAGAAAAAGAACTGGACTGGCATGCAAAGGTGTATGCCCAAGAATACTCATTGAAATATTGTTTATAAGTTAAATACTAGAAACAACCTATATATCCATCTATGTAAGTATGGCACTTACAGACAATGGAATCTTTTGTGGTCATTAAAAAGAATGATATGGACTTATGTTCATTAGCCTGGAAGATTTTCATGATATATTGTTATAAAGATAAAAAGCCACATTTATAATATGAATCTCATTTATATAAAATTGTATGTGTACACTTATTTATACATAGAGATAAATGGAATGAGGTTCACCAAAATAATAAAAGTGGTTACCTCTGGAGAGGTGGGATTTAGGATTCGATTCACTTTCTTTTTAAAAAAATAAACTTTTAATTTTGGAATAAATTTAGATTACAGAACAGTTGCAAAGATAGTGGAGAGTTCCCAGATGTCCTTTGCCCAGTTTCCTCTAACATTAACATGTTATATTAACTATGATACATTTGTAAAAATTAAGAAATTAACAGTAGGGTATTACAATTAACTAAACTGCAGACTTTATTCAGATTTCATCAGTTTTTCCACTGATGTGCTTTTCTGTTCCAGGATTGTATCCAGATACCACACTGCATTTGGTCATCGTCTCCTTAGTCTCTTCTGGTCTGTGATAGTTTCTGTCTTTTCTTGCTTTTCATGACCTTGACAGTTTTGAAGAGTTCTGGTCAGGTATTTTGTAGAATGCTCTTTGGTTTGGGTTTGTCTGGCATTTTCCCCATGATTAGAGTAGGGTTGTGGGATTTTGGGAAGAATACTACAGAGATGAAATGTCCTCATTATATCATTTCAGGGGGTACATCTATCAACATGACATCGCTGGTGATGTTCACCTTGATCAGTTGGTTAATGGGTGTCTGCCAGGTTTCTCCACGTTAAGTTACTATTTCCCTTTCCGGACTCTGTTCTTTGGAAGCAAGTCACTAAGTCCAGCCCACACTTAAAGGGAGGGGTATTAAGCTTTACCTCCTAGTGAAAGTTATACACATATATTATATGGAATTCCTCTTAAGAAGATTTGTCCCTTCTCTGCCATTTATTTATTTATTCAATCATTTATTTATATCAGTATGGACACATATATACTTATCTGATACTTTGGGTTATAATTCAATGCTATGTTATTTTGTTCACATGTTTCCAGCTTTGGCCATTGGGAGCTCTTTCAGTTTGGCTCCTCTGTTCCTTTAATTGCGTTCATCCTTTTTTTTTGCCACTTTCTTTCTATATTTTGGCGTATTTCTTGAATTTTCTATATTAACATGTAGTATCTTCATGATTAGAGAAATATCAGTTATTTTCACATTCATATTGGAGGAAAAAGATATGATCACTACTTTGATGTTCTACCAACCAATTTCTGCTTGTTTCTCAACTGCTTGCCAAGAACAATTTCTTGCAGAAATTGCACTTCGGTGGATGTTGGTGAATGGTAAGTAAAATGATAGTTTTTGCAATGAACTTCAATAGTGTTCAAGTGTGTGGGTGTTAGGTTCATTAAAAGGATTTCCAGGACAGAGGTTTCCATTCAATCATTCAGCAACACTGATTGCACACATTTGTGGTAGGTACTAGGGAGTTAGGGGGCCAGACTATGTGAGGGAGATAACGGTAAGTATGCTTTTGAGTAAAAAACTCTTCTATACCATATCATTAGCCTAGGGTAGTGGTAGACCTTCAAGACAGAGATAAAGCAATGCTTATACTAGAGAAGTGGGGTGGTGGTTGTGGTCAAGGGAGTGGGCCAAAAGATGTAACGTCCAATCAAGGCGTGGAAATGCTCTGGGAGGAGGCTGTAAGAATTACACGAGCAAACCCTTACTGCGAGCCAGTGCTATTATAAACGTTACTGCCATTCTATGAAGCAGCTGCTATCATTGCCATATTGCAGAACGGAGGCAGAGAGAGTTAACATAACGTCCCCAAGTCTACACAACTGGGAATGAGCTGAGATGGGAACACACTTTGGCTTGATTACTTCAAATGCTACCACACGAGGCGACTTTTGAAAGAGAAAGCGCCCCTCAACCGATACTAACTGCTTCTATCGCCTCGTTGCCTTGCATTTTTTCCTTCTTGTTGGGTATGTGTCTTTTAAGGACATAACATTTCTCCCACATTTCCTCGTTTAATTTTCTCTCGAGTGTAGGCACCGAGGCCGCTCACAGCCCCAGGGTAGCAGTAATCGATTTTCTAGACGGGGAGGGGACCTACAGATGCGATTACCGACGCGCGTGGACCCCGGGAGAAGGCCACAGGGGCAACCAGCGCCTCCCCGCACCTCAGACCGCCCCAGTCCCGTCGGCCACTCCGAATTGGGACTTCTGAATTCCGGGAAGAACCGCTTCCGGCGGCACCGGAAGCCTGACGGGAACCATTTCGGGGATGGACCGATCGGCCGACAGTTCTCTCGGGTCCGGAAGGTGATCCTCGCGCGGCTTCAGAATCCAGCCGTCCCGGGCTTTATTAGGAGCTACGTGAGTGGGGTCCCCGCGCCGAGTCGTCCCGGGCTGCGCATATTGTTTGGCCTCCAGTGTCAGTGGCACAAATCAGAAACACTGCGCATTCGGAAGCCTTCCTTTCCACGAAGCCTTTACTCCCTGCGTGCCGCGACCTTAGGCATGACGAGAGCGGTATCGGCCAGATGCGGCCGGCTCGCTTCCTCTCCGGGTACGCCCGGCGGGGGGACCCCAGCCCCAGCCGCCCTCGTGCCCAAGGCTATCTGGGCTCGGGGTCGAGCCACCCCAGATCTGTAATTGTTCTACAATGCTTCTCTTTACCTTGCAGATAAGTTCCAAAGCTTCCATCTCTTACATTCAGGCGTTTCCACCAACGCAACTACACGTTTCCAACATCCTTTTTCAGATTCCGTGACAAGAATATCCTAGCGGCGAAAGAACACCGAAGTGACACTCAGAATCCTGGGTTCTAGTTCTGACTGTCATTGACTAGCGGTATGACATTGGAGAAGTCTTTTTGACCTCTCTGGACTCCGGTTTCCTTTCCTGTAAAATGAAGGGCTTGGAAAAGTAGCAAGTAAGGTTCCTTCCAGTTTTGACATTTGCATTATTGCCCCCAGTGTGTGTTTCTCTTTCCTGCCTCAGTTACCTAGCTGGCAATTACCTACCTTCATGTAAGGCCCTTCTTTCCACTCCATTAATCTGTGTCCTTGTCAAATCTGGTTTTAAACTCATTAAAAAAAAAATCCCTAAGGAATCCTTTGCCTCCTGAGCGCTCCTTATTTCTTAGTCCAGGGACACCTACCTAAATAAGATTTTTTAAATGTGGTATTCTTGAGGTGTTTGATGTGCCTGAGAATCATTATGTTGGAACACTTGAAAGACAGTGCACTCTGAAGGAAGGGACTCTGGCTTATTAAACTTTGAATCAGCAGCCTCAAACGCAATGCTTGGAAGATGGTGCTCAGAAAAATGTGTGCTGAGATGAAAACATGTACTTGTTACATTATTTTTGTTGCTCCTTGCCTTAAAAACTAGAAAGCAAAGCCATAGAAATGCAGTCTTGAGAGCAGAGGGAATAGAAGACTTGGAGGAAAAGAACTATACTACTGAGTTCTGAACTATACTGTTGAGTTCTGTTGCAGTTTTCTCTCAATAAATTCTTCTTTCCTTCCAAGAATAATATTCAAAAGGCATTATTCAATAGATATTTATTGGGTGCCTTCTTCCACTCTAAAACATCTTTGTGGGGTGGGAAGAGGGAAGAATGTTGAGGGTTGAAAGACAATTCCAAGTAGAGGGAGCATATGCAAAAGTTCAAAAATTAGATGACAAAGTATCAGAGATTACAGGTAGGTCAGTATAACAGGAGCTTGGGAGGTAGGTGTGAGGGGACTATAAGAGTGTAAGAGATGAAGCGAGAGGTTAACAGAGGACAGATAATGAGACCTTACGTAGCATGTATTGAAGTTGAACATTAAACTGGGATAATGAGGGGCCACTGGAGGGTGTTTAGAAAGAGCTGTTGAGTTCATATTTGCGTTTTAGAAAAATCACTCTAGTTGTAATTTGGTTAGTTGATGTTTCAAGACTGAAAAAAGAGTCATTTATAAGTCTGTTATTGTATTTCAGTTCTATCGTAGTAGGAACATTAACAATAATGATAGTTAATATCTAGAGAGTTTTTGTTATGGAATCCCATCTGTCTGACTAGACTGTGAACTCTTTCAGGGCAGGAACCCAGTTTTAATCATTGTTGTAACTCTGAACTGTGCTTTGGATGTAGTAGATATCCGAGTAATGTTTGTTAACTTCATTTCAACATTAACCAAACTATTATTTTAAAACTTTTTTTTCTAGGAGAAACATGAACCAGAAGATACTGAAGTTGGAGAACTTGCTACGATTTCACGCTCTTTGTAGGCAGCTGCACTGCCTGGGTCAAAGAAGAACGTTAGCCCAGTGGAGACATGTATTTTCATCTGCTTACCCAGTGTGGACAGCTCAGCTCTATGCCCGGCCCTGGCAAACAGATGTGTTCATCGGGGCTGCTTTATCTCAATATAGGCTTCTAGTAACAAAGAAGGTACTTATAGATTTCTATCAGTTACTGTATTATTTGGTCTATGATGAATGTGCCTACAGCCATGAGTAGAAATCCATTTTGAGTATTTTGCCATTTATGGAATCTTTATTCTTTAATGCTACACTTCAGGCAATAGATCTTGTGAGGATGGGAAATTCTAGTTAGTTGTTCAGAATGCTAATGAATTTGAGTACTTGGAAATCAGTGTATAAAGGTGTATAATTCAGGGTATAATCCTGAATTAAGGATGCACAGGGGAGGCCCCGTGGCTTAGTGGTTAAGTGCGTGCAGTCCGCTGCTGGCGGCCAGGGTTCTGATCCTGGGCGCACGCTGACGCACTGCTAGTCAGGCCACACTGAGGCCACGTCCCACATACAGCAACTAGCAGGATGTGCAATTATAACATACAACTATCTACAGGGGCTTTGGGGAGAAAAAAGGAAAAAAAAAAAAAAAGGAGGAGGATTGGCGATAGATGTTAGCTCAGGGCCAGTCTTTTTCAGCAAAAAGAGGAGGATTGGCATGGATGTTAGCTCAGGGCTGATCTTCCTCACAGAAAAAAAAAAGGATGCACAATTTTTTATTTTAGTCTAAGGTTTAACTACTTAATAGAAGTGGTAGTTGGTAGAAGTAGGAGACATGATTATGGTAGATATTCCAGAATAAATCTTGATTGTCACTTGAAGTTTTTTCTTCCTTCTTCTTTATGCATTCTGAATTTTTAATAGGAAGAAAGATCACGGAAATCTCAGTTATCTTCAACAAAATCTAGAAAGGAGGTAGAGGTATGGATTGGAATAACTGTTGAGGAGCTGGCCAGAGCAATGGAAAAAGACATAGGTGAGCCAGATAATTTAAATTTTCATTAAATTAAATTTAACTTTAATTTAAAATATAATTTGAATCCCATGGATTAGTGCTCTAAACCCAAAACTGATTTGCTGTGATTAAATAAAAGTTATCTATTTGAAGCTTTTTAAATATTATATTCACATCTCTTCTGAATTAAACATAATTTTAATAGGTAAATATTTTTAACTACTATATTAGCAGTGTGAGTACATTTTTTTTCCTCCCCGGGTCAATTAAAATAAGTTGATGTAGTATTTCTGGTTGAAATGTTTTGGGCACTTTTCTACATGTAAATATTTATTTAAGTCTTGGATAAGATAAAATAATATGTCAGTACTATATGCGTTTAATATAAAGGGAAACAGATTATTCCTATGTATAAGCAACCTCTCAAAAGTTTAGGGTAACATATTAGAAAATTGTAGTTACTGGACTATTATGGGTTTTTAGCATTATTAGAAACAGAATTGTACTCATAATTTTTATGTTTAGAAAGAGTTTTATTGTTCTCTAAGAGCATATCCATATAGAAAACTTGCAGTGTATCATTCTTAAAATGTGTGTTCTTGGGAAAGGATGTGGTGGGGAGATACATAGGAAAGGATTTCTTAGCATTTTTATGGAGTGGGATTGTGCTGTACTGAGGCTAGCTTGCACCAGCTTGTGAGCTGATTGCTAAATTATAAGGAATTATGTGAGCTGGTTTTTAAACACAACCATTTTTAAAGATTAAATCATAAATGAAGATAATAAATACTCATCAAAACTCTTCACTTCCTAATTATTTTACTGCATGTTACTATTGTCTATGTTCTTGAGGTTATTCGTGCCTATTGTACCTATATGTTGGAAATACTATGTAATAGTGTGCTACTGCACCTCTCTTTCTATCTCTGTGTGCAGTGACTTCATGTTGGTAGCTTGAAATCAACCATGGTGGGAGTATTTGCACCATGGAAATTGGAAAATGCTATAAATCAGGGATTTTTTTTTTTTGAGAGCCCTCTGAGTAAACGTTTACCAGCACACTACTGAATAGGATGTTCTTTTAATGTAATGTTCTGCCTACCTGAGGATACCTTTCTTTCATATCTGTCCCTCAAAATATAATTTATAGGGTGACTGAAAGTCTGGAATTTACTTATTTCATTATCATCACAGATATATTTATTTATCATCCACAGGGAAATATGACTGAAATTAAAACAAAGCACATTAAATAAAACAAAAAAAAGAATGACAAGTAAATGTTTTTCCAATATTTCAAGAATTTTTGGACATCCTAAATAGATACATGCATAAATAAGCTAATTGTGTGCGTGTATTCTGAGATGCTGTATGTGTGTGTGTGTGTGTGTGTGTGTGTGTGTGTACATACAGTCAATCCTCATTATTTCGGGATTCTGTATTGGCAAATTCGCCTACTCTCTAAAATGTATCTGTAGCCCCAAAATCAATACTCACAGTGCTTTTGCAGTCATTCCTAGACGTGTGCAGAGTGGTTAAAAATTTGAGTTGCCTGGTGCTCACATTCCCAGCTGAGGTTGAACAAGGCAACATCTGCCTTCTTGTTTCAGCTCTCATCCTGTAAACAAGTGTCCTTTTTGTGGTTTATTTAGTGTCACTTTTTTGTATCTTTGAGTTTTTTGTTGGTGATTTTGCTGTTTAAAATGGCCCCTAAGCATAGTGCTGAAGTGCTGTTTAGTGTTACTAACTGCAAGAAGGCTCTAATGTGCCTTACAGAGATAATACATATGTTGGATAAGCTTTGTTCAGGCATTAGTTACAGTGCTGTTGGCTATAAGTTCAATATTACTGAATCAATAATATATATTAAATAAGATGTCTTTAAACAGAAACATAAATCAAGGTGTGTATTGATTGGCTGATGAATATTTTGTGACCAGAGGCTGAGGGAACCTAACCCTGGATTTCCCTTTGGAACAATGGTTCAGTATTTGCCAATTCAGTATTTCCAGTGAGTTTATAGAACATAACTACCGTGAATGATGAGAACTGACTGTACATACACACACATTTGTATATGCATGACATATGTAACTATAAGTTTTCAAAGAACTAGACTATGATAAACTACTCAGTACTAAATATATGCAGGGGCTGGCCCCGTGGCGTAGCGGTTAAGTGCGTGCGCTCCGCTGCTGGCAGCCCCGGTTCAGACACTGGGTGTGCACTGAGGCACTGCTTGTCAGGCCATGCTGTGGTGGTATCCCATATAAAGTGGAGGAAGATAGGCACAGATGTTAGCCCAGAGCCAGTCTTCCTCAGCAAAAAGAGGAGGATTGGCATGGATGTTAGCTCAGGGCTAATCTTCCTCACAAAACAAACAAACAAAAAATGTATGCAACATGCAATTTAATGTTTTATTGATGATTCAGATGGTTCATAAGGTATGTAAATATTTAAATATTTATGAATATGCAGAACTGTCAGTTATAAATGAATCTTATTTTAAAGATTATTTTCTTTTCAGCTTCTTTGTGGTTTGTTAACATTAGAGAAGCAGACAGTTTATATAGTTATTCCTCTTATTGAATGTACTGTTTATATAGACACTTATTAACAGAGGTTACTTTCTTTAAATATTTAATTTATGATCCTAAAAGGTTTTATCTTATTCCAACCAGATTATGTATATGAAGCTTTAATGAACACTGCTATTGACATAGATTCACTAGAAGCAGACTCACATTTAGATGAAATCTGGATCAAAGAAGTGATAAAGAAGGCAGGGTTGAAGTTAAAATGGAGCAAATTAAAACAGGACAAAGTCAGAGAAAATAAAGATGCTGTAAGAAGGTAAAACCTAACTGTATATACTGGGGGAGGGAGACTGCATAGTTTTATTCACACTTTTTAATGGAAAGATTTGCCTTAAAATTTCTTTTGCAATTAAAATGATGTGTGACTATAGGTTAAACTTTTCTTTAAAGTGCTTAAAGCATCAGAAAGTATATTCAGGTTATTATAAAACCGTAAGGGTTATTTTTCTTAGTTTGCCAAGTATGTGTATTGATCCTGCATTTTAAAATTTTATTCAATTCTGCTTGATGTTATGAAGTTGTCAGTTGTAGGTGGGCAGTCATATATTTTATCATAAATCATTGCATGTATAGAAGAGGAAAATAGTTATGTCTAATCAAAGCTGAATACTGGGTTTTGTTGTTAATGGTAGTTTACAGAGATAACTGCAAACCAATCACTGCCTATGAAGTGTTTCTGATATTTAAGAAATGAAACTCCTTTGCTGTTAATTGTAGGCCCCAGGCAGATCCAGCTTTATTAACCCCAAGGTCCCCGGTTGTTACTATAATGGGCCATGTTGATCATGGGAAAACGACGTTACTTGACAAACTGCGAAAAACTCAAGTGGCAGCAATGGAAGCTGGAGGCATCACTCAGCACATTGGTGCCTTTCTTGGTATGAACACAAATTACCTTATAGTGTGCTTGGGAACCCCACATATTATTTTCTTGAACCAAGTGTTGAAGTATGAAATATACAAATTCAAAGTAAAAGAAAAGGCTAAAGGTTAAAGCCATTGGTTTGATGAAATGTAGAGCAGATGGTTAATAAGGTTATTTTGTACATTCTTTTTTTTTTGTGTGTGAGGAGACCAGCCCTGTGCTAACATCTGCCAATCCTCCTCTTTTTCTGCTGAGGAAGACTGGCCCTGGGCTAACATCCGTGCCCATCTTCCTCCACTTTATATGGGACGCCGCCACAGCACGGCTTGCCAAGCAGTGCATCAGTGCGTGCCCGGGATCCGAACCGGCGAACCCCGGGCCACTGCAGCGGAGCGCGTGCACTTAACCGCTTGTGCCACCGGGCTGGGCCCTATACATTCTATAAGAAGAAAATTATATTGCCTTTTTTATTCTAGCCCATTTTTAGTTTGGTTTAATAGGCCAAAATTTTTGAAAGCTCGGTTGTGATAATGTTGCTAATAATAATTAAACAATGGCTACCATTTACTGAATATCGTATTTGCTTTATCATTTTGATCTTCACACAACATCATGAGGTAGGTATTAATATTCCTACTTACAGATAAGGAGGCTGAGGTTTGTTTAGGTTAAGTAGCTTGCTCAAGGTACACAGCTAGTAATTGGCAAAGCTGGGATTTAAATCCAAGGCTGTTGGACTCAAAGCCTGAGCTGCTAACCACATACTAAATTGCCTTTGTTGGTTAAGGCAGCTGTGCAGCTGATGTTTGCTAATGTAGGGGTGGCTGCCTATATAAATATCAGTCTGTTCTCTTTTCAGAATACATATCAGTTGGTACATTTATGAAAGTAGTTATATTCTAGAAATATGAAGAGTTTTAATTTGAAATTATTACATGAAAAGAAAACCCCAAAAGTCTCACTGGTGTGTTACCACTTTTCATTGTGACATGATGATCTGCATTATTCTGATGAAGATTAATGGAAAGAATAAAATTATTTTAAAGAGTTATTGATTGTGTTTGGTAATGTTGCATATATTTCTTCATATTAAGGAAGTACATATTTGAGTCCTTAGTGTTCTTGGATTTCTGTTTCCACAGTCTCTCTGCCTTCTGGGGAAAAGATAACCTTTCTCGATACTCCAGGACATGCCGCTTTCTCAGCAATGAGAGCCAGAGGTGCTCAGGTCACTGACATTGTCATATTGGTTGTAGCTGCAGATGATGGAGTGATGAAGCAAACTGTGGAATCTATTCAGCATGCCAAAGATGCTCAAGGTACTGTGTGGCTGCCTTATGTGTAGGAGGAAGCAAGTTGCTTTTTTTTTAAAAGGATCCACTACATAGAGTCATTGTTCTGGGGTCATTTACATGTAGCTCATTTTATCTGGCAATCCCAGGGTCATTATACCTGTTTTGCAGATAAGGCTCAAAGACAAGTTGAATTGTTTCCTCAGAGACGTAACCTCTAAGAAGAGAGTAGCAGTATTCAACTTGGGACTTGTGACCACAAGTATAGTCCTTCCTGTCCTGTTTACTTATTTGGCGTGGTATGAGAATTAAACAATCTGAAATGACTTTTTTAAAAAACTTTTTATCATGGAAATTTTAAGCAGATATAAAAGTAAGCATAGAATGATAAACCTTTATGTGACTATCACCTAAATTCATTAGGAATTGCAAAGTGGTGATATTCTAATGCTGTTGTTCCTTGTTCATTTATTATGTGGAATTCTTCTCTAAAGAGAAACTTTCCCCTCATCTACTTTAAATAAGTTCTTATTGGTCAAATGTATAAAACTGAAACTTACGGTAATCAGTTGACTATCTTCTCCCTTATTTCTCCATTAAAAAATTGTAATAATAAACACCATGTGCACACATATTCTGTACATTCATTCTTATTCTGATATGGCCCTACATCCACTGAGAAAATACTGTTGTCTTAAGAAAATGTGCCGGATGGAGTGCATCATATTTTCCTAGGTTTGTTGGCAAGAAAAAATAAAGATTGAGAATTACTGATCTAGTCCAATTCTTTCATCTCACAACATGAAACTAAGACCCAGAGAACGGCAGGAACTCCCCCCAATTACAGAGTTAATTTGCAACATGTCTGCATTTGGAATCTGGTCTTCTAGCTTCCAGTGTTACTCTCTTTCCTTTTAAATTCTTCAAAACTGTTTGTGTGGAATGGACTAAGTTCTTAATGATTCTAGGGAATGTAAAACAAAGAAGAGGGTGATAAATTTGCCAGGGTTTCCATAACAAAGCAGTTGGTTGAGATAGGATAAAGTCCTTACATCATACTTTCTACACCTGTTCTTTTGGTCCCTGTTCAGTTCCAGCTCATTGATATGGAATATACTTTTTCATATTAGTGGATTGTAGATTGCCTAGCTTTTTTGTATCTATTTTCAATTTCTGTTCATTGGATGCCTGAGAAAATTGCTGAGTTGGTGAAACCCAACCAGAGAATTATCTCCTAGAATTTTGTGTGATTTCTCTATTGAGAGGGTATGTTTTGTAGTGACAAGTAGATTCGAAGATTATTTGGTTCATTCATTAAGTAGATGTTGAGAATCTACACTGAGCTAGGTGTATGAATAAAGAGTTGCTCTAAATTCTAAAAGAAAGTTTACAGTAATGATACCTAGTTGCAGGATGAAATGTTGGGTTTTAACAATGAGTTAATAGCTCCTGGAAAGAAGAGGCAAATGATCTAGTGGTATTAGAATTGAGTTAGAATCTTCTTCTGATTTTTTTTTCTGGAGATTGTCTGCAGTGTGGTTGCTGATCATGCTTTCATATTTAAGGATAGGCCTTTCTCTACCCAAAATACTATGGTATTTTGTTTTGTTTTGTTTATCATCTTAGGTGTCTATTCTTAATTTATAATCTGCTCATAATTACAGTTTTGAAATCTCACATCTGAAATCCTTCTTTACGTGGAGAGAGCAGAGTAGGATGGGTCTAAAGTGGGTCTTTTTAGGTCTTTTATTAGATAAGTACATCCACTGAGTGAAGAAAAAGCTGGAAAAGATTGGTGTCTTTCATTGTGAATACCTGGAATTGAAGGTGTCATCATTTGCATTCTTCTTAACTCTCTTTCAGTTCCTATTATCCTTGCCATAAATAAATGTGACAAAGCTGAGGTGGATCCCGAAAAAGTGAAAAAAGAACTGCTAGCTTATGATGTGGTGTGTGAGGATTACGGAGGCGATGTGCAAGTAGTGCATGTCTCTGCACTTACGGTAAGTGTAGGCACCTCAGAGACAACTGTGTTCAGATGGGAATGCTACACTGTCTGTAACGCACATTGTGCATTATAACTAAAGTACATTTTGACATATATAATTTCTGTTGTTGTTTAAAAATTCTCTGGGTACTAGGCAAAGCTAGTGTCACTATCCTGGTTTGGCAGAATAGAAATTAGGCTCAGAAAGGTCAGTCACCAATCCAGGGTAACATAGCTGAGCAGTGGGGAATCAGGTCTAAACCTAATGCTTTTCTTATTTATGAGATACTTAGAATGAGAAGAATAAATGGTGAATGATGTAGGGGATAGGGTAATAGGAGGCAAAAGATTGTTTTAAGGAGAAATTAAATCTATTTGGTAATAAAAACTGCTTGTATTTCATGCCTTTTATAGTGAAAAACTATAGAATAGGTCTTAGGCCATTTAAGAGAGAGTTAAAAAAATATTTCAGTAATACAAAGATGAAACATTTGGGTTTAGTTTGTTATTGATTGACTCAATGTTTCTGTGAATTAAATTGCTGTAAGTTTTATAATATTATTTATGATGAATTCCATTTTCTTTTCAATTGCCAATTATTCTTTTCTGGTTGAAAAACAACAAGGAAGCTCAGTACCTGCTTCTTGACAGCATTTTCCAATTCTCTTGTCCTACACAGGTTGCTTCTAAATAACAATTTCCTTTTTTGTCTGTTTTTTTAATCATTCCATGGTTTATGCGTAATACAGACTTTTTTTTTCCTGATTGTTCACTGAAGGGATGGTACTGTATTTGGCCACCTTCTTCCAATTAAGTCTTATTTTATCTTTACTTTTCTTAAATTTGTTACAGCCAAGATGCTTAGAAATTATGCCTCCATTAATAGTAAAACCATGCATCTTTTTCTCTGAAACTCATAAAATGCCCCCTTACTTTCTTATCTTTCCACTATACCTCGATTGCTACTGCACTCTGAAAGCCAGCTGGCAGGATTAAAATGTTTGAAGATGTGGCTGCCTTTCTGCCCAGATACCATCAGATGAGTAGACACATGTAAAGCTCTTTAGGCATATTTGGAGGCATGACAGAGAGATGATTCCTGGGGAATGGAGGGAGTTGGAAGAGAGTGGCAGGGAAGTAAGATGAGACCTTTTTTTCCAAGGTAGAGATAGAGGACTACTTCGTGCAAAGAAGCAACCCCCGCTCTCCTTTTCAGAGCAGAATTTTGTAAATTGGAATAAATACTAGGAATAAGTGGATGGGTAAGCAAAGTATTTAGTCAGTTTTCTTTACAGTTGTCTCTGTTTTGTACTCTGTAAGAGACTGATTACAGTCTCTTAGCTGATGTGGGAAAAATCTCTTGCCCATCAGTTCCAGTTCCATCACCAGTTAATCAGCTGTGTGATCTTGGAGCCCTGGAAAGCACAGTCAACATAGGTCATTAAAGGTGAAAGAATCATCTAATCTAGCTCCTTCGTTTTACATTTGAGGAAAGGAGATCCAAGGAGGTGAAGTGATTTTTCAAGTTGCACAGCTGGGTAGTTACAGAGTATGGCTTAGAGCCTGGGTCTAGTCAGTGCTTTTTCTCCTGATTTATTTAATAAGAGTAAGTAAGGCTTGATTTACTTATTTTATAGGATTATTGAGTGGATCCAATGAAGTAATAGATGTGAAAGCTTATTCAGTTGGATAGAACTTCAAATGTAAAGTAGCATTGTGAAGAAAGTGAGAGGAAGAAAACACAATTATAGAGACAGATGGAGGAGAGAGAGAATGGATGAAGCATTTCTCATTTTTATGTTTATGAAAGGGTATTAACAAAGAACCACTAGTGGCCATCCTTTAAAAAAAAAATAGCCACTATTCCTTGCAAGATCTGTCCCTGGGTTAGGTTTTCTTGCTTATCTCTTCCTTCCTTCTAATTGGGTAATTCATGCTTTTAATGCTTACAGGGAGAAGTATAATGTAACTGTCAAGGATTATTTGGCTTTCTGACCCTAGTGTTTACATTTACAGATAATATTTATTAATGTATATTAAGAACCATTTTTGTTGTTGTTGTTGAAGGGTGATAATCTGATGGCTTTGGCAGAGGCAACAATTGCTCTCGCAGAAATGTTAGAATTGAAAGCAGACCCCAATGGTCCGGTGGAAGGAACAGTAATAGAATCTTTCACAGACAAAGGAAGAGGGTAGGACTGTTAAAATGCTTGCTTTTTAATCATTCTGTTCCATGGTTCTTGTGACTTGATTATATAACAATGTATTATTTTTGTTGCATGTTATTGTTAGTCCATGAAAAATATGTAAAGCTTTTGCTTTGAAAAGTATTTTATTGCACTAGCATACAGAACACAAAAATGCAGTTATTATCAGTAGACCATAGCAACCACCTGTATATATATAGTAGTCATATTTAGATGACTTAAGTAGTTCAATTTGTTTGATTTTTTTCCCCACTAACTTAACTGAATTGGTACAGCCTCATAGAATAATATAAATTGGAATGAAATATCAATTGTTGCATTTTAGGGTTTCTAAATTCTTTATGTCCTTACCCATTAATATAATATATATATGAAGGTCTTTGAAATGGTGTTCTTTAATTTCCCTCCGTATCAGCAAAAACAGTATTCTCACTGCTTGATGAATTAGTTCTAGAAAGGGGATCAGAATTCTGTCAGAGCACTGAGCTCTTTGCGCCCTCTACTACCGTAACCTTACAAGAAATTTTTTTTTATTGTGGTAAAAGACACATAACATTAAATCTACCATCTTAACCATTTTTAAGTGTACAGTTCAGTAGTATTAAGTATATTCACATTGTTGTGCAACAGATCTCTAGAACTTTTTTATTTTGCAAAATTGAAACTCTACACCTGTGAAACACTAATTTCACCTCCCATCTCCCCTCAGTCCTTGCAACTACCTTTCTATTTTCTGTTTCAGTGATTTTGACTACTTTAGGTAATATATATGAGTGGAATCATACAGTATTTGTCCTTTTTGACTGGCTTGTTTCACTTAGCGTAATGTCCTTGAGTTTCATCCATGTTGTAGCATGTGACAGGATTTCCTTGTTTTTTAAGATTGCATAATATTCCATTTTATGTATATAGTACATTTTCTTTATCTGTTCTTCCACTGTTGGACATTTGGATTGCTTCCACCTTTTGACAGTTGTAAAGAAATGTTTCTGTAATATGTAAAACTGCTTGAGAAGATGAGAAGTGGTGAACTTAACCCTGTGTGTACATGTTATATACATTTAAATCTCATATATATTTAAATATCATGTTATATATATTTAAATAATCTCGTAAATATATATATTTAAATCTCATATAATGTGTGTACATATGTATATTTAAATCTCATTATCTATATTTAAATCTCTTAAATCTCTCATATTTAAATCTCATAGTGTCTTTGCTCTACTTAAGAAAGTGCTCTTACATCCTGATTATGGCATTAAGAGTATATACTTTTATTTTCATTTTAGTCCTGTTACTACAGCTATAATTCAAAGAGGAACTTTGAGAAAAGGCTCGATTCTGGTTGCTGGAAAGAGTTGGGCAAAAGTACGCTTAATGTTTGATGAAAATGGAAAAACAATCAATGAGGCCTCTCCTAGCATGCCAGTGGGAATTATAGGCTGGAGAGACCTCCCTTCTGCAGGAGATGAAATTCTTGAAGTAGAATCTGAGGTATATCAAAGCTTAATTCCTATGTATTAGATATGATATAATGATTTTACATATCAATCTATATAGTGTTATACCAAATAAGTATATTAATGTTAACAAATAATTCTAGAGTATAAGGGGCTATGAGGGGGCCATTTTAGAATTTGGCTATATAATTTTTTAAAATTTGAGATAAGATTTTTAAATCAAATAATTTTAATTATACACAAAACCCCTAAATTAAAGTTTTCTTTTTTTGTGTGTGTGTGAGGAAGATCAGCCCTGAACTAACATCCATGCCAATCCTCCTCTTTTTCTGCTGAGGAAGACTGGCCCTGGGCTAACATCTGTGCCCATCTTCCTCCACTTTATATGGGACGCCGCCACAGCATGGCCTGACAAGCGGTGCATCGGTGCGCGCCCAGGATCCGAACCCAGGCGCCAGCAGCAGAGTGTGCGCACTTAACTGCTATGCCACGGGGCTGACTCCTGAAGTTTTCTAAGTTTCTTGAAACTTATACAATTAGTGGTTTCATATATGAGTTAAGCTAATTTCATAGTGGAGGAAAAACACAAAGCTTTTAACCCAGCAGTTACCGGTTTCTATTTAGTTAAATAATGCCTGTTTTTTTTCCCCTTTAAAGCCAAGGGCACGTGAAGTTGTTGACTGGAGGAAGTATGAGCAACAACAGGAGAAAAATAAAGAGGATCTGAAAATGATAGAAGAAAAACGAAGGGAACACCAAGAAGCACATCGGAAAGCTCGTGAGAAGTACGGCACTTTGAACTGGAAGGAGAGATCATTTATAAAGTACCAAGAGAAAAGAGAACAACCCTTAAAGCCAAAAGAGAAAAGAGAAGGAGATTCACATATACTTCCTATTATTATTAAAGGTGACTTTTTAAAGATTTATTTTATAACTCATTTTTGGAATATATTTATGTCTTCATTCTCACAATTAATTTGGGCTGTGAAATTTAAGCCAAAGTTATTTCAGTATTTTGGGAGAGTTTTTTCTTTTTTTATTGAGGTATAATTGACTTATAACATTATGTTATTTTCACATGTACAACATAATGATTCAATTTTTGTATATATTTGAAATGATCACCATAATAACTCTAGTTAACATTGGTCACCACACATAGTTAAAATTTTTTTTTCTTGTGATGAGAACTTTTAAGATCTATTCTCTTAGCAACTTTCAAATATGGAATATAGTATTATTAACTATAGTCATCTTGCTGTACGTTACATCCTCAGGACTTATTTGTTTCGTAACTGGAAGTTTGTACTTTTTGACCCCCTTCAGCCATTTCACCCACCCCCCGACTGGGGGAGATTTTCTTAGTAAACATTTTTCTTGCTGATTTTATTGTAAATATACATTTGATTCATTATTCTTTATTACGTTAAGTAGATATTTATAATGCTACACCTAAATAAAAGTGGATTTAGTGGTAAATGCCACTCCTATTATAGCTTTAAATAGATTATTGTCATTTTTGTGTCTGTTAAATGCCTAACTCTTAGCACCACTAATTTTAAAATTTTGCTGCATTTAGGTGATGTCGATGGTTCCGTTGAGACCATTTTGAACATTATGGATACCTATGATGCTTCACATGAGTGTGAACTAGAATTAGTACATTTTGGTGTGGGTGATATTACTGAAACTGATGTTAACCTTGCTGAAACATTTCATGGTAAGGATTCCACTTCCTGTCTGTTTACTTGTGTTCCCTAGAACACGCTGTGAACCATTTGCTTCTGTCTTTTGTCGCTTGGCCAGTCACACCCTGACATTTGGCTCCATCAGCATCACCCTTCCTACTGCAGTAGCGTCCCGGCCAGCGACTGAGGGGGAGTGGGACGTGCAGTATTGCAGCCGCAGCTCCACTTGTCGTCGTCATACTGCAACCTTAGGGAGCTATTTCAAGCCCCCGTGGGGTCTCTTGATTTTTTTTTGAAGGTGCCATTACTGCCCCGTGTCCTCTCTCCTCCTAGTTCCCCACCCAGCCTAAGATTGGTTCTCTATATCTTTCATTTAGACTTTTGAATGCTCCTATCACTATAATCAGCCTATTTAGTACTTTCCTTCATCTTTTACTTTTGGCTGCCTATTTTTGTTCATTGATAACTTTACAAATCATATCTTTCTTAGATCAAAAGCCCCTTTGAGCTTTAAATGCCTGGAAGGCGGGGGCGCTGTTTATTAGTCAAACTTATGATACACAAAAAGGGGGCTCATGACTGTCACTTTAACAAGGTCTAACACCTAGCAAAGCACCAACACTATTGAGTGACTGATGAATCATTTAGGAGGGAGGTACTTCATGACCTGACTTGATTGGAATTGTGTGTTACCTCTACTACTGAAAAGGTGTTTTCAGTAATACTGGTTAGTTCAAAGTAGCTTATAGGTACGGACTGGCCTAGCACTATACTACGTAATGTAGATAGTATATTGAATGATTTCTTAATGATAAGGCTTTCAAGGTGGTTGTGTTTTTCTCTTAATTAGGCTGTTTGCATTAATTTTTTTCACTTCTTTAAGGCAAGAGTGTTTTGCTTTTGCTTTTTCACTGCCAAGGTGTTTGCAGTTAAATACGTTATTTGTTCTTGGGTAAAATGGTCAGCTCCATGGAACTTCTTTCATATCTTGAACTTTACCAGTTAAGTAACTATTTTTGAGCATCTTTTGGCCAACTGAATACCCAAGAGTAAACCACAAAAGCTGTAGGCAATAAGATTATAATTTAATAATAGAATTGTTATTAAAATAATGTAATAATATTTCAGCCCTAATCATTTTTTTGTTTTCTTATTTCTCTGGTATAAAAATCAAAGCTTTGTTTAGCATATTGCCTTGCACATTGTGGGCACTTAAAATAATGTTTCTTAAATGAATGAATTTAAAAATCATAAAGAGGGCCAGCCCCCATGGCCTAGTGGTTAAGTTTGGCGCACTGCACTTCGGTGGCCCAGGTTTGCTTCCTGAGTGGGGACCTACACCACTTGTCAGTGGCCATGCTCTGGTGGTGGCTCACATACAAGAAGAGGAAGATTGGCTGTAGATGTTAGCTCAGGGCAAATCTTCCTCAGCAAAAAAAAAAAAATCATAAAGAAATTTTGCTTGTTAAACAAGCCATAATAGGATTTTATAAATTCTATTAAGAAATAAATTCTATTAATTTGAAAATTTACTAGTTTTCATGAAAAAATTATAGAATTTCTCATCTCCCCTACGTGCTTGAAATTTACATAGAAGGAAATAAAACAATTTAGATTTGAGTTTCTGCTTGAAAGACAAACTGTTAAATGCAGTATTTGAGCTACTTTATTGATTGTATTTCTGCTTGCCAGGTGTTATATATGGCTTCAATGTGAATGCAGGCAATGTTATCCAGCAGTCAGCTGCAAAAAAAGGAGTAAAAATTAAACTTCACAAAATCATTTACCGTCTTATTGAAGATTTGCAGGAGGAACTGAGCAGCAGATTGCCCTGCACTGTCGAAGAGCACCCAATTGGTGAGTATTCACTGAATGTTACTTTTAAACATTCATGTCTTAGATGCTGTAAATAACACTTGAAAACAAAGTTTAGGGGAAATGTATTTCATTACTCAAATACATTCACTGTTCCAGTACATACCCCCTGTTCTAGAAAAAATGACTATAATAGATAAGAATTCAGTGTAACTTCATATTATAAATGCCTGCCCTTGGGGCCGGCCCCGTGGCTTAGCGGTTAAGTGCGCACGCTCTGCTACTGGCGGCCCGGGTTCGGATCCCAGGCGCGCACTGACGCACTGCTTCTCCGGCCATGCTGAGGCACGTCCCACATACAGCAACTAGAAGGATGTGCAACTATGACGTACAGCTATCTACTGGGGCTTTGGGGGAAAAAAATAAAGGAGGAGGATTGGCAATAGATGTTAGCTCAGAGCCAGTCTTCCTCAGCAAAGAGAAGAGGATTAACACAGATGTTAGCTCAGGGCTGCTCTTCCTCACCAAAAAAAAAAAAAAAAAATACCTGCCCTCTGCAACACATGGTGCTTAGGCCCTGAGGATACAAAGGCAAATAAGGCAATAAAAACTTGCCCTCAAGTTTAGACTTGAACAACTAATTGTAGTACAAATTAGACTGGGATGCGAGGCATAAAGGTTATTAACAAGTGTTGTGGAAGCAGCAGAGAAATCCACCATGAGAAGATAACTTACATTTAAATATTAAAAATTTTAAAATATTCTTTCTAGCATATCCTTTGGCCAGATTAAAGGGTAAATTTATGTAAGATGGACTGAATCATTTTATCTGTTCTTTTTCCTTGCCACATAGATTTTTCTGTTAACTTTTTATTTTGGTGATAGTTTTAAATTTCTAGAAAAATTACAAGAAAGAATAAGGTACTGTCTCCCATATACCCTTTACCCAATTCACGAATTGTTTACATTTTGCCCCATTTGCTTTATTCCTCCCCACTCCTGGACCTTTTGAGAGTAATTTTTTTTTCCTGGACCATTTGAGAGTAAATTTGAGATATTGTGTCCATTTTGCCACTAAATACTTGCATTTCCGAAGCACAAGGATGTTCTTTTATAAAACTACGGAACAAATATCAAACTCAGGAAATTTAACATTAATACTATTATCTAAGCCACAGTTTATAGTCAAATTTTGTCCATTGTTCCAATAATGTACTTTATAGATATATATTTTTCCCCCAGTCCAGGATCATGGATTACATTTTGTTCTTCAGTCTTCTTTTGACCGTGACGTTTTTGAAGTGTTTAGGCCAATGACTTTGTAGAATGTACTTTAATTTGGGTGTGTCTGATGTTTCCTCATGATGAGATTCAGTATTTGTATTTTTGGTCCACAATATGGATTTGTTTTAGTCTTTTCTGAACCGCTAAACATGATTATACAGAGATTTGTATGTTCTGTGCTAAGAGCAATTTGGAAAACTGAGTCATATGAGAATTTCTGGGACTAAGCAAGCCCCACTCAAATGATTCTAACCCTAAAAAACTGGTACATTATAGTGTGTGATACCATGTCATTATTGAATTTTGTTTTAATTTTCAGTCAGTGAAAAAATGAAGCTGAGTTACAGAATTAGTACTCCTAAGTGGATATAAATCACTGGTGTTGAGATTAAAAATAAATCAGGTAACAACAGATGATCTATTCTAGAAAATATATTGAAGGACAGCTGAAAACTAGGTTTTCATGGAGCAGACAGGAATTGTACTAATCTTATCATCGACTATTATCATCTTCTAGTGCATTTTATTCAGCCAAAAAAGTGAGTTCCATTTTTCTTTTGTTCATTCTTTTGGTAAGCATGTGTATTTTTATCATTTTTTTCCAAGAATACCCAAGGATTTTCATACATTTTTATTTCTAATATTGGTCAGGAAAATAGAGTTGGTGGAGTCAAAACCAGGACTTCTTTCTATGCATGAGTTTGTATTTTTCTCACACCTTTAATTCTTGCTCTGCAGAATGTCAGAAATTATGTATTTCTCAGAATCTGTTTTCTGTACACTTAATGTTCTCTTCTTCCTAAAGGTGAGGCTTCTATACTAGCCACCTTCTCTGTAGCAGAAGGGAAGAAAAAAGTTCCTGTGGCTGGCTGCAGAGTCCAAAAGGGACAGTTAGAAAAACAAAAAAAATTTAAATTAATCCGTAACGGACATGTTATTTGGAAGGGTAAGCAACATCAAAATCTTTTTCTATATCATATCCAGTCACCAAAACCTGATGATTCTGTGTAACTATCTGAAATCTATTCATCTTTCACTCCCATAATCCTAGTTCAGGCCATTCCTTCTTACTGGCTCATAACTGGTCTTCAGGACTCTTACTAGTCCTGATGATACCTCCAGGATTGTTAATCCCCCAGTCTGATTTCCTAAACTTCTAACAATTGGCCCCAAACTACCTTTCCTGCCATGTCCCCTACACTTTGTATCACTATACTTACTTATTTCCATCTTTCTTAACTTAGCTTTTGCCTGCAATATCCTTTACCTTGGTTTATCTCCTTCTTCAAGTCCTGAGTATAATACCATCCTCTGCAGTGTTCTACCTTTGAAATGTGAGATTTAGTATTTTTTGCTGCAAATCAAATCCTGTTTACAGCAAACTTCATTTATCTTTCATTTCCCTGGTATTTAGTCTCATCATTTAACATGACAGGACTGTAGAATTTATAAAAATTTCAGTGTAATTTTAATACCAGATACATAGCACTTAGTAGGTATTTATTTGTTGAATATATGAACCTTACGTTTCTTTTATTTTTTTTTAAGGCTCATTAACCTCACTGAAACACCATAAAGATGACATTTCAGTCATCAAAACTGGAATGGATTGTGGTCTCAGTTTGGATGAAGAAAAGATAGAATTTAAAGTGGGAGATGCAATTATTTGTTATGAAGAAAAGGAAGTTCTAGCCAAGACTTCTTGGGATCCAGGATTTTAAAATTATATTAAAAATGTAAATAATTAAATGTCTTGATTAAAGAGCAACTAGTTTTGCTTTACTGAAGGTAAGAATTCACCACTACTGGTCAAAAAGTACCCAAGTAGTTCAAGTGTTAATGCATAACTCAAAATGCTACAGAAATTGGAAACCTTAAGGATGCCTTAACCATATGGTAAAAGGGAATTGTTAATAATTGGTGTTATCACTGAATGTAATAATCAGAGTTTAAAAAACTTCAAGTGCACGTTTTAGTTAAGAGTAGTATCAAGAGAAGCAGTCCTCCCTGAATTGAGTTCCACGGGCAAAACATGGTACCAATCAAATACTGCTTGAAACCCTATTTTTTTAGTGTCAGCAGTACTCATGAGCAAACATTAGTTTCAATTCCTACAAGTTCATGCTCAACATTGAGCAATAGTGTGTTCCCTTGTACTGCAGACAGCAAACATCCCAGCCAAACCACCCAAGGACTGAGGATTAATTTTTGAATTGGCAACTTAAAGCTCAGCCTTTAAATTTCCTGTGTATGAAACAACTATGCAGTAGCCTCTTTTGTAGGCGTGGTCATAACACCACTTCACACAAATCAGTGTTTCTCAATCTAGGGGAGGTGGTTTCCCCTCCAGGGGTCATTTGGCAATCTCTGGATATACTTTTGGTTGTGGTAATGAGGGTGAGGTGGTATGCTATTGGCATCTAGTGGGTAGAGGCCAGGGATCCTATGATGCACAGGACAGCCCCCACAACAAAGAATTATCTGGTCCAAAATGCCAAGTGCTGAGGTAAAAAGAAGTGCCAGAAACACAAACTGGGGGCTGGCGCTGTGGCTTAGCGGTTAAGTGCGCACGCTCCGCTACTGGTGGCCCAGGTTCGGATCCCGGGCGCACACAGACACACCGCTTGTCCGGCCATGCCGTGGCAGTGTCCCATATACAGCAACTAAAAGGATGTGCAACTATGACATACACCTATCTACTGGGGCTTTGGGGAGAAAAAAGGAGGATTGGCAATAGATGTTAGCTCAGGGCCGGTCTTCTCAGCAAAAAGGGGAGGAGTGGCATGGATGTTAGCTCAGAGCCGGTCTTCCTCAGCAAAAGAGGATTGAGCACGGATGTTAGCTGAAGGCTGATCTTCCTCACAAAAATAAAAAATAAAAACCACTCTTTCAATCACTGGAATAAAATACAATTAAATGTTCATGTCTTTTATTAACCCATATACAATTATTTGTCTTCTGGTTTGTTGAAACAATAGGTCAGACAACATTTGCCACAATAATGTCTATCAAAGTGGCTAGCCATAAAAACTCCAGCACCACATTCATCTGAAGGGCACTCCCGACGAAGGCGGCTGATTTTGCCATTCTCATCCACCTAAAAAAAAAGAACAAAGCTGCTAAGATAATTTTACAATATATTCTGAAGTCTAATTAAAAACTGCCTCAAAACATTTAACCTTTTGATCACACAATTGTGGTATCTTTAGTACTTACCAACCAAAGCACCCCAAATCCTCACCAGTAATTAGAACAAGAAAGTTCAGAGCTCATTCAAGTCCAGCCTTGCAAATGGTGGACAGAGCCAAGACCCGAACCCAGATCTGACTTAAATATCAGAACTTTAGTTTGGAACAAGCAGCTAAAGGTACACCCTATTAATATAAAGGGCGGGGAGAGGCCAGCATCACGAATCTTTTAGTTGGGTGCGATAGGAAGTACACAATACCACAGATGAGGGAGTCTTGGGGGGAAAAAGAGGTATCTGGTTCAAATACCAAATAGGAAAAAAACAAACTTTTATATTAAAGAGTTTAAAACCAGAGATGCAAACAAAATGTATTAATCTATAGGTAAAAACTTATTTTTAACAAATTAGCTCACCTTATAGTACTTTAGGACAGCCAGCTTAACCTTCTTTCTCTTATGCTTGTTCTTCTTGGGAGTAGTGTAAGACTTCTTCTTTCTTTTCTTAGCACCACCACGAAGTCTCAACACAAGGTGAAGAGTGGACTCCTGTTAATGGAACAGAAGAGGAAAACAGGCTTTAAAAACAATTACATTAATGCTGATGCTCCATTAAGAATGGACAACTAGCATCATGCATCTTTTAATTGGATGCAATAGAAAGTACACAATACCACAGATGAGGGAGTCTTGGGGAAAAAAAGAGGCATCTGTGTATTAACTAGTAATGTATAGGGAGATTAAAAAACACACTAAATTACACCATAGGATGCAACCTGCAAAATCCAGAGTGAGCAAGTACAGCAGTGCTTCTAAAATGTTAGTCTAGGAGTCACCAGGGAATCTATTGCTAATTTAATGCTGTTCTCCCCACTTTTGTGTATTGGTCAAAATTTCCAAAATAAGATTTATTTATATATAAAGCACTGCTCTTTACTCCAAACAGACCTTTTGAATGTTGTAGTCAGATAAAGTACGTCCATCTTCCAGTTGCTTGCCAGCAAAGATCAATCTTTGCTGATCAGGAGGAATTCCTAATGAAAACAAAACAAAACCCCAAACAAACAACAAATTAAGTCACAGAAGAACTAGCATTATCTACTCAAAATTTACAAACTAATAATCCTGAATCAAATAAATGGTACTAACAGCTGTCACTGAGTTCTTCCTACAGGCTAAGCATGGTTTTAAATGTTTACACATTTTACCTCATTTAATCTTAACGACAATACTTAATACATATTAATACTATCATCGCACAGATAAGAAAACAGGTATAGAGAATTAAATAGCTCGTCCAAATTCACACGTGAAATGGACCGCAGCTTGGCTCCACGCTCATAAACGTCTGCCTACTGTGTTACTCCAAAAGCATTTCACTTTGTCAATCTGACCTCTTCCCACCCACCAAGAGCAGATAAGTCCAGCGCCTACTGGTGGAGCCTCTACAAGTTAATTTTTCTGAACTAGAAACATTACTTGCCTTCCTTATCCTGGATCTTGGCCTTTACATTTTCTATTGTATCCGAGGGTTCAACCTATGAGTTTTAGAATGCAAACCTATTGATAACACAGTAAGGCACTAGAATACACATCAACTTAATGGTTACCCCAGAACCGAGCCAGTGGGGGGGCTGAAACCCACCTAAAAGAGCCGATCACCCACCCACTCGCTGGGCAGGCCACCTCCCAGGACTGCGGTGGCGAGCACACGTCCTCACCTGCGGCCAGGGCGGCGCAGCCCGGCCACACGTGCACGCGCCCACCCGGCGGGGAGCGCCTCCCACCCCCCGCGGGACCCCTGCTTGGCTACCTGGCCAAGAACCACCAAGGCAGGTGACTTCAGGCTTCGAAGACCAGCCCTAGGCCCCCGCTCAGCAAACAACCCCCAAATTCAGGGCCAGGTTTCAGAACCCAGACTCGGAAACACATTCTACGACAGAAAGCAGCGCCAGTCCCGAAATCCACCTCCGGCCCTTAGTCGGCCTCTGGCTTCCTCCCGCCGCCTGGCCCGTACCTCGAGAGTGATGGTCTTCCCCGTAAGGGTTTTCACGAAAATCTGCATCCTGGCGGCGGTTCCACCTGAGGTAGAGGGAAAGGAACAGACAGCTTAGACCTGGGAACACAAGAGAGGGCGACCAGGGGGCTGCTGGCCTGAGAGCCGCCAAAAGAGCACACACTCACCGCAGATGGCGGATCGGAAAGGAAGAACGCGGCGCCGGCCCACGGGGTTTCCTGGCGCCCTCGCCGGAGGCCCCACCTCTTAGGTCACCATACCAAATGCCTGACCGCTGTCACAGCGGCTGTCTACCCATACGCCAGACTAGGTCGTGAACCTCATTTCTCCTCTCTCTAGCCTCGGCTTATTTCTCACTTTAACCATCAGGATGCTCTCGAAATAGTATATTTAAATAACTTAAAAATGTCTTTAAAAGGCTTTTCCCATACAGTCGACACGCCTGAGGGTCTTTGAAAGGAGGTGGGCTTGAGGGGGCCTCATTGAGGAAAAGGGGGGAAATGGAAGTGACTTCTGGGAATTGTAGTTCTCCACTGCTTTCTTTTAGCTAGGACTACTTATCCCAAGATGCAGTTCCACACCCCCGTGTCCCCTAGTTACTATGTTCAAACACCGGAGTCAGTGTTAAGAGAAAGGGATTAAGGTGAGGAGGGAGGGAGGCTGAGGCGGAGTAATGGTTTCGAGAAAGGAGGAAACGGTCGGAAATGACTAGGAGGAAAGGTTAAGAGGCTGGAGAAGAGGGCAGGAACCAAAGTATCGTTCACCCACTGACAGAGGCGGGGAGGGGCGGAGGATCAGCGGTCTACAACCAGACGCTCTCTCCTCCAAGGGAAGGGAATTCCTGTGGTCAACTCCAGGCGACAGAGAAATAGGTGATATTTTCAAAACCTTGGGTTCATCCTTTCCTCGCCCTGTAGCCCCTCCTCGCCTTCAACCCCCAAGTCTCTCCTAGTCTAAGGAAGGTCTGGGCTTGGTGTGTCACTCTTTAGTGTGAAACGGTTTAATATGTTGAAAATCTCAGGACTTTTCAAATTTTAAAATGAAGCTATACGGGAAAGAAATCTGCGGAATGGTTGTTTAGTTGTAGAATTTCCAAGTTTGGACGTTGGGAGTGGTGGTGCAGGTCCTAAGCGGAAATTTTTGGAGTACTATGTGTAGGGCGCTCTTCTGGCAAGGCGGGCCAATGAGAAGTGAGGTACGCACCTCCGCTGGCCTTTCTCCATTGCACAAACCCCGGAATCTTTTCTAATGTACCCTCGTAATGTCTTCTCTATTATCTCTCTATGCCCTGCCCTCTGCATCCACGTCCCCAAATTCAGGGCCTCGTTAATTTTCTTCTGGAAGGGTTCAGTATCTAACTTCTAACCTGTCTCCAGTCTTTCTCCTTTTCTAACCCACCTCCACTTTTGCCTCCAAGATATTCAAAAAAGTAAAAATGATTATTATTATTCTACTTCACCTTCAGGATAAAATCCAAATTCTTTACTATGATATTCAGCTTCTGCCTCCCTTACAGCCTAATCTGTCAAAACTGTTACTCACTTTACACTTTAATAACATTGAGCTAACTGAAATTCCTGATATGCTCTCTCAAGCTTTGGCACTTCTGAAGAAGCCATTTCTTCTTCCTGGAACAGTCTTCATCCCATATTCTAGTCTCCACCTTTACAACAACTCCTTGAAAGATTTGTCTATACTCTTTGTCTCCAATTCTTCCCCTTCCATTGACTGACGCCACTCCTATCAGGCTTTTGTCCCCACCATTCCAGTGGAATAGCTCTTGTGGTCACTAATCACCTCCATGTTGCTCAATTCAATGGTCATTCATTTAATTATATTTGATCTGTCAACAGCTTTGATACAGTTGATCACTCCCTCCCTCTTTGAGATACTTTCTTCACCTGACTTCCAGGATACCCCTCTCACTTCTCCTGCCTCCCTGGACACTCTTTTCCGGGCTCTTTTGCTGCTTCCTCTTGATCTACCAGACATCTAAACTTTGGAGTGCCCCAAAGGCCCAGTCCTTGGACCTCTGCTTTGTTTACATTTCCCAGGTCATTTTCATTCTGCCTCATAACTTTTAAATACTATTTATATGCGGATGACATAAATTTCTCTCTCACTCAGACCACTCACCTGAACTCCATCTTCGCATATCTAGCTGTCTACCCAACATCTCAAATAGGCAAGCTCCAAACTCCTGATCTCATGAAATTGCTGTTCCCATCTCCATAAATGGCAATTCCCATCTTTCTAATTGCTAAGACCAAAAAGTTGACGGTCATCCTTGACTGCTTTCTCATACCCACATCTAATCCCTCAGCAAATCTTCTTGGCTTTGTTTCTAATATATATGCAGAACACTTCTCACCACCTCTACTGTAATCACCCTGATTTAAGCCACTCTTATCTTTTGCCCTGATTATTACAGTAGCCTCCTTATAGTTCTTCTGGCGTTGACTCTTGTCTTCACAGAGCAGCAAGAGTAATTCTTTGAAAATGTAAGTCAGCTGTCTCTCTTCTGCCCACAACCCTGCAATGGCTTCCCATCTCGCTCAGAGTGAAGTCTAAGTCCCTATAAGTGAGGCTATTGCTCCAGCATGGGAATGACTGGAGGCCACAATCAGGCTTATTGCTCTTCTTGCCAAGTCTGCCCAGAGAAAGGGGCACCTTTTTCTAATCTGCATAAAAGTTCTTCACGGGCTGGTAGTGGTCCTGCCTTCAAGGCCCTATATCCTACATGATCTGGTAGCTACCTCTCTGACCTTTTCTCTTTTTCTCTCTTTCTCATTCTCTCCCAGCCCCACTGGCCTTCTTGCTATTCCTCAGACATGCTGTCCTGCCTAAAGGCCTTTGGACTTGCTGCTCTCTCTGCCTCAATCATTCTTCTTCCAGGAATCTACGTGACCTACTTTTTTCAGATTTCTGAAATGTCACCTTATCAGTGAGGGCTTTCTTCTTTCCTGACTTATGCCGTATATAAAATAGCACCCTCCCACCTTCCTTACTCTCTAGTCCTCATTCCCTGTTTTATTTTTCCCCATGCAATTTATCCCCATCTATCATACTGTATTTTTACTTGTGTGTTGTCTGTCTCTACTTGAATGTAATCTCTGGGACATTAGGGATTTTGTTTTGTTCAGTGCTATATTTTTTAGTGTATAAAATAGTGGGAGACACACAGTAGGTGCCCCCAAAATATCGAATGAATAAATAAATGCACAACTTAAGCGTTGCCCTAGCTGTTGTTCTGTTAGATGTTTTCCCTGCTGTCTCCCGCAAACTAGTGAGGTGCCTCTCTGGGCTTTTGTAGCCCATTGTGCCCACCTCTGTCACACTGCCGTCTCTGCTCTGTAGCAATGGCTCATTTAACTAGACTCAATAGACCTGACTGGGAACCCTTGTGACTTGTTTTCTCTGTATCCCTAAGTGTCTGATATTCATGAATGAGTAAGTGAAAGGTAATCTGAGTTGCTTTATGTAACTCAGTGGCGTTTTGTAGATGCTCAGGAACAATCATTTTAGCTGTGTTTTGGTTTGAGGCCTCCGCAAGTCATATCTTCTAAGGAGACCAGATTATTACTAAGTATTATCCATTATTAAGCAAAAATTCTTTTGAGTATGTACTCTACTAGAAACTGTATTATGCACTGGAATGCATATGGGTGGAGAAGTATAATGGGGAATGAGAACATTTTGGTTCCTGATCTTGTCAAACTTACAGCCTATTGGGAGAGACAGAGAATATAAATAGAAAGTCTATAATACAGTGTGGCTGAGTGATAATACCGTGATAGAGGAAGTGCACAGTACCATGGGAGGACGTGGCAGAATCCAGGGCAGCTTTCCTGGAGCTGTATAGGCTGAGATCTGAAAAATGAATAAAAGCCAAGTGAATGAGAGTGGCAGTACCTGTGTATCTTGTGGGGGAGGGGAGCAGTGAAGATTGGGGGAGGGTATACAGGGATGGGGAGAGAATTATGAAAGACCCTCAGGTAAGAGAACAAGTTCATGGGAGTGGGGATGGGGGTTATGAGGAGGATGGGGCCATGAAAAGGCTAGATTTGGTCAGAGAAAAAGAGTCCCTGATTCCTATAGGGCATTCGTAGGCTAAGTAAGGAAACTTGGATTTTATCCTAAGGGTAATAGGAAGCCACAGGTGTTCAGATGTGACCACACACTCCCCAATGATCAGACCCATTCCTTCCTCCTTTGACTTTTGTCTTTTACTATCTAAAATTACATTGTTTATTTATTTATAATCTGTCTCCCCTACTAGATTTAAACTTTGAAATTATTTTGATATCTCTCTCCTCCTATATATGGCCTATGGGCAGTATTTATAGGCCATATATGTTATTTCAGGTAACCAGATATCAGTTATATAGCCAAAACATGGTAAAATTGATTTAGACATTTATTATCCCAGCATTATTTATAATAATGAAAATATCCAACATTGGGAGAATGATTAAGTAAATTACAGTGTATCATATCATGGAATGATTAAGTAAATTACAGTGTATCATATCATGAAATACTAGGCAATCATTAGAAGTCATGTGTTTGAAAACTATTTAACAACATGGAAAAGTGTTTTTAATATCAAGTGAAAAAAATTAGGATACAAAACTGAATATAGAGTGTGATCCTAATTTTGGAAGGAAATACACCAAAATATTAAATAGTCATTTTCTTTGGGTGGTGGGATTCTGGATGATTTTTGGTTTTTCATTAATTTTCTTTGATTTATATTTTCTAGATTTTATACCATGATTATATATTTCTGTAATGGGAGCGAGGGGAAGTTAAAATGTTTTGTCTTGCCAGATGTTTTTAAGCAAGCCATGGGTTCTGTTTGATGTTAATGTGAATAATCTCGGGAACTTCTTTATCCATCTCGAGTTAGATAATGATTCTTTACTAAAAGAGCAGTGGAATGTAGCTGCTTGAAAACTATACTCAGAAAGGTACTGTTTGTTATCTTTGACATCATTGATGGATGGATTTTACAGAGGTCCTGGCTTCTTTTTGGTTAGTACAGTCATATTTTTTTTTTTTTTAAAGATTTTATTTATTTTATTTTTTTTCCCCCCAAAGCCCCAGTGGATAGTTGTATGTCGTAGCTGCACATCCTTCTAGTTGCTGTATGTGGGACTCGGCCTCAGGATGAACGGAGAAGCGGTGCCTCGATGTGCACCCGGGATCCGAACCCGGGCCACCAGCATCGCAGCGCGCGCACTTAACCACCAAGCCACAGGGCCGGCCCTAGTACAGTCATATTAAAGATAAGAAGTATAATAAAGTTTATCATAAAAATAAATTCATGAATTATTTTTAGCTGTTGTGTGCTGGATGACTGTGACTGGGCCAGGTAGGCATGTGGGTAGAGAAGTATTTGACCTTGTTTGTGTCATCAGGAGGCTTCCAAATTAGTTTTTCCACATGAAACAAATAAAATGCCAAACCTTCTGTTAGAAAGTGTTGAGTTAAACATAAGAAACTATCCAAGCATATGATACATATGATACATATGCTTGGTTAGTAAGAAAAGAGCCCTCTGTTGACTGCTGTTTGGTATTTCTATCCCAGAGATATAGCACATGACTGTAGAATAGATTAGATCTTTTAATTCATAGGTTGAAATATTTTTCTCAGTGATCCATGGGACATTTTTTTTTCTGAAACAAAGATACATTTTTCTAGATCAATATTTGACTTCATTTATTTTAAGCTTTAGATTAATTGATGGTCTTTTTTTCTTTCAGGTTTATCAAAGTTTTGGCTTTGTTGCAAAAGCAAGTCAAGACTTAACTTTTCTCTGGTGAACAAGTGTGCAGTTTGTGACATATGTCGGTCCAAGACATAAATAAACATGCAGTGCTCCCTCCTATCATTAGTAGAAGTGACAAGGAATTTTTGGAAAGTATGCAAAGATACATAATTACAGAAACTGAAAGAGTGGGCTGTAATGAGGAAGGACCTGCTGATGAATATTACATCATATACCGAAACGTTTTTGATAAGGTATCATAATGCTCTTAATCAATATAGTATCAATAAGGGTGTCATTAATTCTCTTCAGACATAACGCTCTTAAGGGTTTTCATGTGGTAGAAAGGTCTGTCTTGACAACTACTGTTCCTGCCCTGGTGACACCACTGCTTGTTTGACTGCATTCCGTTCGTCAGTTTTGAGAAGTTCATCCATTTATTGGACAGTGATGAATGGGGAAAGTGCAAGGCCACATTTATATTAGTAGACAGTTAATGAGTGTTCCAATTGTTTTAGCTTAAGTGCAGGCTATCAGTTTTTAAGCAACAACCAGCTGTGCCATCTAACATCATTTTGACTTTCCATCTGAAAGTATTACCTGATTTGTTAGGAATTGGGCTGCAAGCAGGAAACCAGTAGTTGCTTGTTGTTTTGGGTTTGTTTGTGGTATTATTAAAGTCTTGGTTTAGATTTGATCTAGCATAGTAAATTGAAACCCCTTGTAGATTAAAGGTCTAGATGGGCACCTTAAACGAAGGGTTTGACTGGAGTGAACATTGGAAGTATGGAGATCAGATTAGAAAATGTTGTGGCTTTCTATAACATTTGATTTTGCTTTTCAAGGTTTTAGAAATACCTGTTTTTCCTTATGAACAATTGCAGTTTGCCCACCGATGCTAATTTTTTTACCTCGCTTTTTTTTACCCCTCTTGGAAGATGCCCTGACAGTAAAATAAGTGAAATCAGCATCTTTTCCTCCTTACCTAGAAGAAATAATTAAGTTAAGACTTCATAATTAAGTCTTAACTTAAGACTTCTGTAAACTATTGGTCTCTGGGCCGGCCCCATGGCTTAGCGGTTAAGTGCGCGCGCGCTCTGCTGCTGGCGGCCCAGGTTCGGATCCCGGGCGCGCACCGACGCACCGCTTCTCCAGCCATGCTGAGGCCGCGTCCCACATAACAGCAACTAGAAGGATGTGCAGCTATGACATACAATTATCTGCTGGGGCTTTGAGGGGAAAAAAATAAATAAATAAAATCTTTAAAAAAAAAAAAAACTCTTGCTCTCTGAGTAAAACAGCCACAGGCAAAATAAGAACTCAATCTTTTGTTTAATTTTTAAACATACACACTGTGAGTCTTATTTCTCCTCCAAATAAAAACACAGTGCCTCACTCTAATGAAAAGTGAGCACAAAGTAGTGATATATACCTACCAGTGGAATTAAGAAAATTGATGCATATCTGAAAGAGTATAAAATGGAGAAACAGAGTCTTTTCTTCCTTTTAAGTCATCCGGGAAATCTGTCTTTTAGAATTCACACATTGGCAGGTTAGCTTCATTTTATATGTTGTTATGATCAGTGATATCGCTTTTGGTGTTTTAGTCATTAAGGAATGTATTAGATGAATGTTTAGAGGTAATGTTTTGAATAGGCTTCATAAATATCAAGAATCATGCTGAGTCTACTTGTATGAAATCAGCGAAGTTATCATAACTGTGACATGCTAATCTTTGCATGCTGAAATGCTAATACTTGTCAGAAGTTTTCTTACATGAAGAGCTGTCTGCTTTAAATTAATATATAGTGAAGTCATTTTGAAAGTGGTGCTGGTAAATCTAAATCTTAGAGAAAAGACATGAGGTTGAATAAAAATAGTATCTATATATCCATGGTCCTTTTCCCCCTACCCCCCAAGAGTTCCATTTGGACTATTTGTACATTGTACAATTATAAATTGTACATTTGTACATTGTAAAGAATCCTATTCTTCAGGACTGAGGGGGATCTGAAATAGAAATGATTTGGTACTTAGAGAAACTTTTATTCTAGCTTCTCAATAAGATAATCTGCCTTTTCATTTTTATGTTATTCCAGCACACTTGACTGTTATTAAACTATTAATGACTCCCTTCTCTAATCTTCCTTCCTTCTTGGAAGGATCTAGTTGGGGAGAAGATGAAAGTATCAACTTGCATCTCTGAGTACTTGGAACCAGAGAACAAATACCAAATTCTATTTAAAATAAAAAATAGAGGATTTGACCTGGAGAACCATGCCTGAATCCAAGCAAGGAGGACCTGAGACTCGTATACCAAGAGTTGAGAGTAGGTTGTAGAGAGAGCCAAGGACTTAGTAAGCAAAGAAGACCAAAGCTAGGAAGAGTAAGCTTCCGTAGGAATGGGTAAATTATGGAGGCAACTGGACCCTGGAAAGTGGCTGGCCTGTTGTGTTCCTGGTAGCATGTTGTACAAATGATCTAGGTCCATATATAGGAGCTGAGGTGGAATGGATCTATTCCTCTTCTCCCTCAGATACATGTACCTGGTAAGTATAGCTCTGGTTTTCTTGGGTTTAATGGAAGGCTTAATATAGGAGTCTCAAACTTGAATGCCTACAGAGGCCAGGAAGGTCGAATAAGAGAGTTAAGTGGGCTGGCTGAGAATATAAGACAATAAGGAATCATGGTAAAATGAAGAAGCAATCCAATCTAAAGCTCCAGCTGATTATTGACATTAAGGAATGGGGGTTCCACGTTGGTAGATTTTTCAAGGTTTTCAAGAGAAGTGGGAAATATGGTTTTTGGGTGAAATTTCCTAAATTTAAAAATATTTTGTCAGCCAAGCAAAAGTGTATTTTATCTGTGGCAAGCCAGTTCGCCTCCTTTACTTTAATGCATTTTCCCTGCATTCTTAAAGGTTCTCATGAGTGTTCTTCTGAAATCTATTTCTTCTAGAAAACAGAGATGCAAGCTGATCATGGTGTCACTTTCAAGTCTGTTTTCTATCCATTAGTGTATCTGAGTTGTCTTGGGTGCTGTAGCACATCACAGAGGCACGTGGAGGAGAAGATGGCCAGGAACAACAGAGTGTTTAATTTGGAAGACCATAGATTAATGGTTTCTGTTTTATTAAACGTTTCTGGGTGGCAGTCCTGATTTGGGTAAATAGGTAGATTTAGGTAAATGGTCATGTCAAAAAGACAACCAGCATTTCCCACGCAAATATCTTCTCCTGGTACTTGCCATTGATCAATAATCTCCTTATACCATTTCTTGATAGACCAGATGTCTGCCTGGGTAATCTTTTCTAGATATTGTCTAGCTAACGGAAAACCAGTGGGGGATGCCAGAGACTAGAGATGTAGTAGGGGTAGAAAGCATAATTGTAGCTTCAGAGAAAATTATGGATTGATCACATCTATTCCCTATGTACATCAATCCTTTCTGAAATTCTCATGAGCAGAATTTGGAAACCATACATTATAACTTTTTTGTTTTTTAGCTTATTTAAAATGCCCCTTAATTATTTATTTTTGCATGGGTAATGCATATACAAGATTAACAAAAAGAAAAAAAAGAAAGAAAAAGAACTAATAAAGAAGAATATACAATGAAAAGTCAGGTCTTTCTCACCTCAGACCCTACTTCCCCTTTCCCTCTCTACAGGCATCTGCTGTTTCTGTTTTCTTCCATTATCCTTCCAGAGATATTCTGTACCTAAATACCATTGGAAACCATGAATGTATAGTGATGAGGGGTTTTCTACAGTTGCACTTGACAGCTTGGGAATAGAAATGCAATTTAGGAATTGAGAGTATTGATCAGCCAGTAGGAGCTGGTAGGTTAGACAAACAGGGAGGTGAAGGGAGTCCAGGATTTTAAGGTCTGAATGAAGTCAGAGACTAGGCTTGGAGGTAGTAAGGGACGATAGGTAATTATATTTAAAGGATCCAGAATTGGGATAATTAGACCTGGTATTGGTTTTAACTGACATCATATAATGTGTGTGTTCATACTAAGTAGAGCAAAAATATGTTCTTTTTTTTGCCTCATATTTAAGCTCACAGTATTCTAACGATTCACAAAGAGCACATATTCAGTAAATATTGTCTTTAATACTCAGTCATATTTGAGCTTGCTAAGCTCAAATTTGTAAAATTTTAGACTTCTAATTGCTCATCATGTTGCATTTAAAAGATAATCTATAATGTTATTTGCAAGGCTTTTGATCCATAGTCTTCTAGAAAAAAATTCAGTACCATAGGCAGAAAAATCATATTTCAGGTGATAGAGTATGTCACTGCATACAAATCCATTCTTACTTCAATCAAAAAAGAATATGATGCCTTTATTGAAACAATAAAGAAAAGCCAAAGAACTGCATTTTATCTTCATGGAAAACTTAAAGTTTTGGCAGCAGAGCCCACAGCATTGGTATATCACAGGAAAAGAACAATTCAACTAGAAGCAAAGTAAGTATATTAGTAAATAGCCCAAAAAGTGATAATTGTTACTTTGTTATATTGACTAGCCAGATGTAACTATAACCAGTGGTTCTCAGTCATTTTGAATTTCAATTTTATTTTAAAGCCATGTTTTTATGTTACCCTTCCTACCAACTTGAAATTACTGTATTTTTTACTTATTTCAAGTAAAAAATATTAATTCTGCTTGAGAATTTTATAATATCTCTTAGGACAATTGGAGGTACTTTGTAGTATTATAAAATGGGGGATGCAGTTAATTGCTTCAGGTAATTTCTTGCATGGAAGATTTGGTAGTACAATTTCATGATTGCTATCTGAATTGGAGCACTTAATCCTGTGATGCACAAAGGTAAGTAACCTACTGAGAGAGGATTAAATGCTCACTTTTGTTGAGTAGTCTCATATTTTCAGTGTTCCATTTGATAAACGATGGGTAAATTATTTTTATAGATAATTTCAAATCAACTTGGAAAATTATTTAAAGTTTGACCTCCCTTTCTGGTAATATGGCTGGCTAGATCTTCCTGTTGGGGAAAAATGCTACATAAAATATTAAAAAAAAAAAAAAAACTTTCCAAAAGCAACAGGAAGCTGACAAGATAGTAGGAGATTATCAGGGCAAAATTGTAACAGAAGACAAAAGATAAGAGGAGCACCAAAACTTCTTTGCCCTGAGAGCAGTTATTAAAACTAATGACAAAAAGCTTCAGTTTTTACTGTGACACAGGGGAACAAAAGACAGAGCCCAGGAACTGCCCAAAGGGTGTAGTCTACTGGGAAATCCTCCCCATATAAAGCTGGGACAATAAAGGGCTACACCCTTGTAGAGTGAACCAGAGGTAAACTGCCCCATGTGGGGACTACATGGAAAATTGCCTTCTGCTCAGCAGACTGCTAACATGTACGGGGCTTATTTTTGGGGTGATGAAATGTTCAGGAACTAGAAGTGTACTGGTTGCACAACTCTGTGAATATACTGAAATCAATGAATTGTACACTTTACAAGGGTGAATTTTAAGGTGTATGAACTATATCTCAATAAGCTATTATGAAAGAAAAAGACAAGGAGGATAGAGTGAGAAAGTCATTATGTTTAATCACAACTCTAAAAGAGAAGAGAATATGGGACAGACAATATTTGAGGAGATAATGGCTGAGACTTTTCCAGAACTGGTGAAAGATGTCAATTCACAGATTCAAGAAGCCCAGAGAATCCCAAGCATTGTAAATAATAAGAAGTACTCAACTAGATTTATTGTAGTAAAATTGTCAAAGATGAAGAGATCATGAAAGTAGCTATGGAAAGGAGCAACAATTAGATACCTTCTCATCCATGTTGTAGCACGTATTGGAACCTCATTCCTTCTTATGGCAGAATAATATTTCATTGTATGTGTATACCATATTTTGTTTATCTACTTATCTATTGTTGGATTGCTTGGGTTGTTTCTCCTTTTGGCTATTGTGAATAATGCCACTATAAACGTTCATGTACAAGTATCTGTATGAGTCCCTGCTTTCAATTCTTTTGAAAGTTTGCTTTTAACATGCCTTTCTTCCACAGGCATAAGTTTATTTGGGTGAAAGCCAAAGGATATTTTATTTCCACAGTCCCTCTTTCATAAATACTGCAGGCTCTTTCTCTGAGCTTCTCTTATAAAGAACTTTATATAATACTCAGACACAGGCAGCAGTTATCTACTGACAAACTTGTTTTAATTTGCCAAAGAACTCGTGACATTTATGTATCTAGTTTATTTTAATTTGTTAATTCCTCCCTGGGCCAAGAAATATCAATGATAAACTAGGAGGTAAACCTCAAATAATGCTTAAAAGAAGTTTGTGTCTACTTCTTGGTCTTTAAGATCCCCATTTCTGGATGAACTCTTTTTTTATCCCAGAGAAGTGCTGTCATTTTTCTAGGTCTAGGATCAAAATTACTAAAGTAGGCTGAATAATGGGCCTCCAAAGATATCAGGTTCTCATCTTGAACCTCGAAATGTTACTTTATTTGGAAAAAGGGTCTCTGCAGATGTGATTACAGTAAGCATCTTGAGATAGGGGGATTATCCTGGATTATTTAAGTGGGCCCTAAGTACAATCACAGCTGTCCTTCTCAGAGAGGCAGAGGGAGCTGTTGACACAAGACGAAGGGGAGAAGGCAGTGTGACCGTGGAGGGAGAGAGAGAAGTGATGCAGCCACAAAAGGCCAGCAGCCCCCAGAAGCTGGAAGAGGCAAGGAACGACTTCTTTCCTAGAGCTTCTACAGGAAGCACAGCCCTGACAACACTTTGCTTTTGGCCCAGTGATGCTGATTTTGACTTCTGGCCTCTGGAACTGTGAGAGAATAAATTTCAGTTGTGTTAAGCCACGAAGTTTGTGGTAATTTGTTATAGCAGCCACAGGAAACCAATACATTTACTTACAAAAATAATTTTTAAATTGCAAAGGGACTAGACATAGTACTTTGTGTCCAGATTTTTATGTTTAACACTTATAAATTTCCAATGAAGTTACGAGTCATAGTCACTATAAGATTTTATTGATGCTCTGAAAGAAAATCGTTCCTCACTGTGAGATTAGTTAACTTTTTCTGGGCATTGTTTTGTAAACTTCCACCTAAGTCCATAATAGTTCAAAATTATAATTAGCCAAAATAAAGTAATGATTTAACCTGTTTTACTTTAAATCTTATGATTAAATAATTAAATTAGTTGAAAGAAATATAAGGAAGCCTTTCTGTCTTTCAGAATGAGGGTTATTGAAAATAATTCCTCAAAGATTCAATTGCAAATAGACAGAATGAAACAACTTAGGGCAGAGTATGACACGAACGAAGTAAAATATTGTACTTTCTCCAAAGATCCTTCAAAACCTATTCCAGGTACTGTATTTTGTTTAAATATTTAAGAGAAATTCTGTTTCCATTTATTACCTATTACACAAATTAATGTATATGTGCTGCTATGTCTATATAGTGTGGACTATACACACAAGTATACCGGGACTTTAGCTATACTTTACAAACAACTTTAGCCAGGACTCTAGGTAGGTACAAGGGAAGGAGAAAACTTAATCCTAAAAGATGAAAAGAGTTCCAGTCTGGCTAGATTATATAAAGTATAATGCAGCGGCTCTTAAAGTGTGGTTCCTGCATCAACATCAGCATTACCTAGGAACCTGTTAGAAGTGCAAATTCTTTGGCCTCGCTGCAGACTTACTGTGTCAGAAACTCCAGGGATGGGAGTTGGGTAGGGTTGGTGAGGATGCCCAACAGTCAAGGTTTTAACAAGTTCTCCAGGTTATTCTGAGGCACTCTAAAGTTTGGGAACCCATGGTGTAATATATGAAAAAACTGTACATAGAGTATTAAGTTCTGGTGAATATTGTTGATTTATATTGATGTCAGCATTCACTGGTTCCTCATCTTCAGCTAAGCCACATTTTAAGAAATTGGAGTATATGCTGGAAGGCATCCAGGATCTTGAGAGGTTTGTATGATGAATGAATGGATGGAGGAATTGCTAATTTGCAGAAATGTGCCTTTTGTAAATATTCATCCTGGGGAAAATAAAGACTTTGAGAATAGATAACTGTATTCAAAACTTTTGAGGATTTCAATTAGTGTTTATCCAGAGGCAGAATCAATAGGTGGAAATTGTAGGAAGTCAGATTTTGTTTCAGTGGAAGAAGCTATGTCTTAAGATAATGAGCTACTCCATACTGGGGGATTTCAACTGAGGTTGAATGGTCGTCCTGTGTTTGGTGGAAGCAGGGACTAGATTCACTTTCAGATATAAAATTATGACTAGCAAACTACAAATAGGATACATATGAATAAGTACAGAATAACTGACAAGTTGACTAAATGCTGAGAGGATTCATGGTTAAGAGAATGATTAAAAGCAACTAGGATTAATCCAGGGTGGTTTCTGAAAGAGAATTTTGAGGTATGCCTTTAAAGGCAACAATTGGCCTGAATGAGAAGGGAAGTCCTTTGAAGTGTGTGTGTGGTGTTATGAATAATAAATAGAGAAGACAGTGAGAGGGAGAGAGGGCTGAAGATTTGGCAGGCATTTATAAACTTTGCATTGGAGAGAATAAACAGATTACCCTGGGGTTAGCCATGGTAGGTTAATGGAAGATTTAGTTAGAAACCATTTGACAGAAATCCTGAATTGTTAGGCAACAAGCTCTTGGTGTTATAGTATAACTGATATTTAGGGGTTTGCAAGGTGTGGTGATGAGGTCATTAAAATTGTTTTTCTTAAGATGCTAAGGTTTGGACAATCAGTCTTCATCGATGGTATGTTTAAAACTGCCAGCCATTTAAGATTGTATGCTAATTCTGTTTATGTTTAGTAAGCTACAAGTTCGTGCTACCATTTATTTCTTACTTCCTAACATAGTGAACTTTCTGACCTATTTTGCTAGGAGTTGCTGTTTGAGCACAAGAGTCCCACACATGGCTTGGCTTGTTTGATTTGATCCCTTTTCCACATAGGCATGACTCTCCAAGAATCCGTCAATTTAGATGCTCTCACTAAATATCTGAAACATCTTGAAGCTAAATATGCAGAAATTAAACAAGTTATGTTGAAAAAATATGTACCAGCTCAGAGGAAGGTGGATTTAGATGAAGAAATGACTGTGATATTAAAACGGCGAGATTTAGCTGAAAATCTGAACAAAGAATTACAGTTTCGGTATGAAAGTTGATTTTATATTTTTAAAGTTTGCAGCTTTTGTTTGTGTTTATTCTAGTATTCCACTGTTTGAATTTAGGTTCAGTGAATTGTTGATGTTTTTTATCTTTATAGTCATCAAAGACTGCAGACTATTTTGTATGCACTTACTTCACTGGTAAAATCTGATAAGAGCAGCTCCTTTCAAGACTTCGAGGAGCAAATTCAGAAAAGTAAAGATTTACATGGTAGTTTATCTATATTTCTTAATTTACACAAATAATAGAAAACATTATAATTTTTTTCCAGAAAGCTAGAGTGGAGATTTTCCTGGGCTGAGCTTAAAGAAAGTAAAAATGTGCTTACTTCTATTAGGTCTCTGTTACCTTCTGGGCTTTTTGCTTCAATAGCTAACAGATAATTGGTAAAGAGTATACTTGGCGAGCCAAAGAGAGAATACCTGAAAATAAGGAAGAATGGGACAGGGAGGCCACTCAGTGTAGGAGGAGGTGGGTGCTGTTAGAAACCATGGTGTTAAGTTGTTGGTATTAAACATATGTATGTTTATTATTTTCTATTGATAACCTTAAATATCATCCCGTGGTGCTTTGAATATTTACAGGTGATCGAGGCATTGTTGAGGAGCTGTTTGAAGATGATCCAGGCAAGGCAAAAGACGCTGAAATTTTGCTTTACTACATTGAAAGGCAAATATTTTAAAAGCTTTGATTTTTATTGTTAAAATATTATAGCATTTATTTAATATTTGTTTAGCATTTATTTAGCATCTTGATCAGCTATAGTCTCCAGCTTTTGTATCTTTAAAATTCTACCCTAGTAGACAAATTAGAAAATAAACTAGAATTTTTTTAATAGATTCTTTGTGGAAAAAATACCAGATTGATAGTCTAGGAGATTTTTCAGAGGATATAGGTGGATTGTAATATTGATTTAAGTTTTTATTTGTATTTTTCTTGTATTCCCTAACCATCAACCTGATATTACAAAATATTTTTGAGAATGTCTTCTTGAGTCAGATTATCTTAGCCAATTCATTCTTTTTTTCCTCATTAGTTCCGTCCTGTGACATATTAAGAAGGCATATTTTTCCCTAATACTAATTAAGTTATTATATATAGTGCATAATAGAGGCTTAAAGAGATCTAAGACTTTATCCCTTAAGAAATTAATTCATAGGCTATGAGGCCAATATGTAATGAACATATGTAATATTTCTAGTCTTATATGTTAAACAGTTTTCGACTGTTGATTTGCTTGTTGATATGGTACAAAGAAGGGGTAAAGATCATTTTGGGGGCCACCAAAGCCCGTGTTACTTCCTTATACTGTATGCTTCTCTAAGTCTACCAGCTTTAGATATGAGAGAAAAAGACCCTTGTTGAGGTTGTAAGTTTTATGTATTTTGTTTAATGCTACTTTGGTGTTTTTCTCCTCTGGGGTTCCACATTCATTTGCAACACTGTGTAAATCCTGTTTGCCATTGTTTTATTAATTATGAGGTAAGGGCTGATTTGAGGACATTTTGCCCTAGGAAGAGGAGTAAAGGCTTAAGTTATCTGAACTATCTTTTCTTCTTGTGTTAGTTTCATATTTCATTGGGAATCTTATTCCTGGCAGAGCAACATAGGCTTCTGAATACCAAGGATACCTCTTGATCTCCAACTGGGCAGCCTTTGTGTTCAATTAATATTTCCCCTAGGTTGAGCCTCTAAGCATATTGCCCTTCTTTCCCTGATACCCCCTTTCATCTGGAGATGGTATGAGAGAAAAGAATCTAGGCTCAATGTAAATTCACTTCAAGTTCTTTCTTTCCATTTTTTATGGCTTGCTATAAGTACTATAGGAATAAAGCACAGGATCAGGTTCAAAGTCAGCTGGCAGGTGAGAGTATTATTCTGAGGCTACAAAAAATGACAGAATATTAGGGAAAGAAGTGAAATAACATCTTACAGAGTGAATAAATCTAGTTCTAGTTTATTAGGATTGCTTTTCTGTATTACTATGCCACTATGTTTAGTCTGTATTAGACATTTCTAATCAGTTTTCTTTCCTTTTTTTGTATACTATTTTAATGTATCATGCAATGCAATGACTGTAGGTTCAATGAATTAATCTCACTTGGTGAATATGAAAAGGCAGCTTGTTTAGCCGCGAACAGTCCTAGAAGAATTCTTCAAAACATTGGGACAATGAATAAATTTAAGGGTAAGCATTTTTCTCTGAACCTTATATATATATATGCAAATTATACTTTTTTTTCCCCTGATAGAATGGAAAGAGTATTGAACTAGGAGACTAAAGATCTAGGCTCCAGCCTTATCTCTACCATTTACTTAGTTTCCTTAGCTGTAACATTAAGGAATTTGATTAGGTTTCTAAATTAAGTTATGAAATATTTCAAATATACAGAAAAGTATGGAGAAACACATAACAGCCATGAACTCACTGTCTAACATTTAATAAATGTTAATATTTTGTCAAATTTGCTCTACTTCCTTTTAAAAACAGCTTTGTTGTGGTAAGTTGATATACGTACAACAAACTGTGCATATTTAAAGTACACAATTTGATAAGTTTCAACATATGTATCACCCAAAAGTTTCCTCATTCCCCTCAGTGGTCCCTCTGTCCCACTACTCCCCACCCCTTCTACTTCTCTCCCTCCCACAGCTTCCCCACATTCCCTAGGCAACCACAAGTCTGCTTTCAGTCACCATAGATTAGTTTGCATTTTCTAGAATTTTATATAAATGGAATCATATAGTAAGTATTCTTTTTTGATTAAATTCTTGCTCTTAGCATAATTATTTTGAAATTCATCCATGTGTTACATCTATCAATAGTTCATTCTTTTTTATTGCTGAGTAGTATTCCATTGTATGAGTACAAGTCCTTTATCAGACATCTGATTTGCAACTGTTTTCTCCCAGTCTGTGGCTTGCCATTTCATTCTCTTAACAGTATCTTTCCAAGAGTAGAAGTTTTAAATTTTGTTGAAATCCAGTTTATGAATTTTTTTCTTTTATGGATCTTGATTTTAATGGCATACCTAAGAAATCTGTGCCTAATCTGCAGAGATTTTTCTCCTATTTTTTTTTCCTAAGGATTTTATAGTTTTAGGTTTACATTTAGGTTTATGATCCAGTTTGAGTTAATTTTTATATATGGTGAAAGGTGTGAGGTAAAGTTTATTTTTTTTGCCTATAGATATCCAATTGTTCCAGGATAACTCATTAGAAAGACTTTCTCCACTGAATTGCCTTTATACCTTTGTTGAAAATCAGTTGTCCATATATTTGTAGGTATATTCTGTTTTATTGATCTATTTGTTTATCTTGATGCCAGTAGTACACCATCTCTATTACTGTAGCTTTATAATGTCTTGAAATCAGGTAGTCTTCAAACATTGTTCTTCTTTATCAAATTTAAATGGGCTATTCTAGGTCTTTCATATTTCTGTTAAAATTTTTAGGATCAGCTTGTAAATTTCTACAACAACGCCTGCAAGGGATTGCATTGAATCTATAGATCAATTTGGGGAGAATAGACACTGAACAATATTGAATCTTCTGATCCAATGAACCCGTAAACATGGTATATCTCTTCATTTATTTAGGTCTTTTAAAATTTCTTTCAGCAATGTTTTGTAGTTTTCAGTGTTCAGGTCTTCTTTTTTTTTTTTGACATTGAAAAAATTTAATATTTTACTCAAAAATTTTCAGACATCTTTCAAATACCCAGGAACTCTTTTTTTGGATGTGCCCTGAAATCAGTGTAAGTTAAAAGTGATATTAGTATATTCCTGAGTTTCTTTCTCTTCTCCCTTTGACTTGGTCTGCTCGAAGTATGGATTGCAAGTTTCAATAAAAATCAAAGCTTGTAATTAAGGCTTAAATAGGTAGAATTACCAGTGAAATTGGAAAACAGCCAACTTTTATTAATTTTCTAGAAATTTACCAATACTAGACTGGTAGTACTTACTGAGCATTGCTTAGAATCACAAAATGTTCTCTTGTTTTAAAACTAACCTGCATTTTTAAAAGATGAGAGGATCAGAAGGAAATGCAGAGGTATAAATAAAGGAGAGATATACTCAGTGGAGCTTACAAGTATACAGATTAATTTTTCTAATTATTTTCATTCTAAGTGGAAAATTTTGATGTCAGATATATACAGCCTGTTTTTTATAAATTTCTTCAAAAAAGCCGTTTAAATTCAACAATTTGAAAAAAATGTTCTTTTACTTTGTCTGAACACAGAAAATCTGTTGCCATACACATAGTGCATATGAACTTATGTATTTATAGAGATTGCATGACTATGAATATTTTTGCATGCACAATTTCCAGTATTCTATCCTACTGGATGATAACACAGAGTATAATTTTATAATTTTTATTTAATTGACTTGAAGTTAAGAAACCATCCAATAATTATTGGCAATTTAATAACTGAATGATTATCAGATCATGTTATACTGCAAAAGTAGTCTTACATCATGAATGCTGACACTGTGCATTTTGAGTGTTAAATTGGTAATTTTTATAAGCCCAAGGTTTAAATTGGCATATACAAAAGTAAGTCAAAGCCTGAAGCATGTGGTAACAAAAGAGGTTTCTACCACAGAGCAGTTATAGTTTCATAAGGGACACAGGAGCACAGAGAATTAAGTGATTTTTGGTCAATGTTTAGGTCTTATACATCTTTTGTCAGATTTATCTCCAAATATTTTATATTTTTTATGCTATTATAATTTTTATTTCAATTTCTAAAATTGTTTGTTGCTAGTATATAGAAATACAATTGACTTTTGTATATTGGTCCTGTGACCTCTTTAAACTCATTGATTAGTTCTAGTACATTTATCGTGGATTTCTTAGAATTTTCTACATCAGTAATCATGTCATCTGCTAATAAAGAGTTCTCCCTTTCCAATATGTGTACCATTTTTTTCCTTGCCTTATTGCACTGGCTAGATCTTCCATTACAGTGTTGTACAGAAGCAGTGAGAGCTGATATCCTTGCTTTGTTCTTGATCTTAGAGATAAAGCATTTAGTTTTTCATCATGTATGATGTTAGCTGTAGATTTTTCATAGATGCCCTTTATGAGGTTGACAAAATTCCGTTCTATTTAGGGTTGGTGAGAATTTTTGTCAGGATTGGATGTTAGATTTGTCAAATACTTTTTCTACACTTATTGAGTTGATCCTGTGGTTTTTGTCCTTTAGCCTATTAATATAATGTATCGCCTTCCTAGGGAAAACTCCACAAAATTTAATAATTTTACTATAATTACAGAGTTTTATAACCATTACCATAATCTAATTTTAGAACATTTTCATCATTCCAAAAATAAACCTTGTACCCATTAACTCCTCATTCTCTACTTCCTGTTCCCCCTTCAAACCCTAGGTAACTACTCATCTATTTCCTGTCTATATAGATATGCTTATTCTGGACATTTCATACAAGTAGGATCATACAACACGTGGTCTTTTGTGACTGGCTTCTTTCACTTAGCATAATGTTTTTGAGATTCATCTATGCTGTAGCATGTATCGGTCGTTCTTTCCTTTTTATGGTCAAATGATATTCCATTGTCTGGCTATACTGCATGTTGTTTATCTGTTCATCAGTTGGTGGTCATTGGGTTGTTTCCACTTTTTGGCTATTATAAATATTGCAGCTATGAACATTTGTGTACAAGTTTTTATGTGGGCATATGTTTTTACTTCCTTTGGGTGGATACCTAGGAGTGGAACTGCTAGGTTATATGGTAATTCTATGTTAATACTTTGAGGAACTGCTGAACTGTTTACACTATTTTCTGTTCCCGTCAGCAACGTATAGGGTTCCAATTTCTCCATATCCTTACCAACACTTGTTAATGTCTGTCTTTTTAATTATAGCCTTTCTAATCCATGTGAAGTAGTATCTAATTGTGGTTTTGGTTTCCACATACCTAATGACTAATAATGTTGAGCATATTTTCATGTGCCTATTGGCCATTTGTATATCTTCTTTGGAGAAATGTCCATTCTTTGCCTATTTTAAACTTGTATTTTTTTGTGTTTTTATTATTGAGTTGCAAGAGTTCTTTTTATATTCTGGATAAAAATTCCTTATCAGATAGATGAAGTGCAAATATTTTCTTTCAGTCTGTAGATTCTCTTTTCACTTTCTTGGTGGTGTTTTTTTTTTTTTTTAATTTTTTGTTTATTGCAGTAACATTAGTTTATAACATTGTATAAATTTCAGGTGTACATCATTATACTTCTATTTCTGCATAG